TGTGAGGGGTGTGGAGGGAAGCGGTGTGGCGTGGACACTTTCTGTGAGTGCCACCCGTGTCTGTGGGGCAGCTGCTCCCTGTGTGTTTTCCGCCGTGCCACCCCAACACTGCTAGGTCAAGGGTGGTGTCTCATTGAATCAATGAGAATGAAAATTGAGGGCCCCACAGAAGGAAAGGCCAGCGCCTCCAGATCCAGAAAGAAAGCTGAGTGAGTGCCCCTCGCAGGAGCAGCCTTATCTAGACTGGAAACAGCGGCCGCATGCTCACCTCACTAACGCAGGGAGGGCCTGCTGGCAGCCTTGCAAACTCAAGACCTCAAGTAACCACAAAGGATGGTCTGCAATGGAAACCTTTAATTATAAAGCAGGCTATGGTGGGTAGTCACGTCCTAGGACAGTATCTTCTCTGGCAAAGATCAACTTCGATCTTTACTGAGCCTATTTTTTTTTGTCTAAGACAGTGGTCGGCAAACTCATTAGTCAACAGAGCCAAATATCAACAGTACAACGATTGAAATTTCTTTTTTTTTTTTTTAAATATATTTTATTGATTCTCTACAGAGAGGAAGGGAGAGGGAGAGAGAGCCAGAAACATCGATGAGAGAGAAACATCGACCCCCCACTGGGGATGTGCCCGCAACCAAGGCACATGCTCCTGACTGGAATCGAACCCAGGACCCTTGAGTCCGCAGGCCAATGCTCCATCCACTGAGCCAAACCGGTCAGGGCTGAAATTTCTTTTGAGAGCCAAATTTTTTAAACTTAAACTATATAGGTAGGTACATTGTTATTAACTTAATTAGGGTACTCCTAAGCTGGCTGTTGCTAAAAAGGTCCTCATTTTATAATAATAAAGCCACCAACACAAAATAATTACAATTCTTAAATTGATGACAAAAATACCTGTAGGATTTGCAGCTGGTTGGAGAAATACAGCTAACTTTATGCTTCAAGTAGGTACTTTTGTCACCCGCGCGCGATTTGCGGACTCGACTAGCACTAACCACTGCACAATGAGACTGCTGACTCACTGGCTCTCTCAACTCGTGCATGAATCACTCGGGCCTCCCCCGAGCTGCGTCTCCCGTGGCCCGACCGACCGACACCCTCCACTTCTTCTAACGCCACGTCTTCAAAATAGACTCGCCCAGGCCGAAAACCGACTTCTGCGCATGGGCCACGAAGTTTCAATCGCACTGTACGTGTGCCCGCACGTGGTATTTTGTGGAAGAGCCACACTCAAGGGGCCAAAGAGCCGCATGTGGCTCTCGAGCCGCGGTTTGCTGACCACTGGTCTAAGATAACATACCTGTGGTATGTCAGGATAACTTCTAACTTCCCTTTTTTCTGGACCCCCTCAGGGCAAAACCACAAATTCCCTCATTGTTATTGTTATAGTGTTTTTAACTGTGGACTGTTAACTATCCTGCACCCACGCGTGTAGAAGCATGTGTCTATATCATTTCACTTTTTATCCAATCCCAGAGGTTTCCTTGATTTGCTTTCTCCCACCTCCCTAATCTAGCACCAATGGATTTCATGTCACCTTCTGATGGGAATTTGTAAAACTAAGAGAAAAGCCGCCATTCTTTGGAGCAATGTCTCAATGCGTTGAAATTCTGCTTCTCAGCAATTGTTGAGAGTTTGGCTCAAATAAACTCACAAAAATTCTTTACAGGTTTGAATGTTTCTTACGTTAACAAAACGAAGACTTCAGAGGAGGACAGCAGAGGCTGTGTCATCGGAGCTGCAGTCGTGGGGGTCCAACTGTCCCTGGGTCCAGCAGAGATCCAAAAGCAGGCAGGGGAGAGGGAGACTTCATGGTAGAAAGGGGGGCTCCAGTGCACCCCAATGGAGGCTGGCGTCCCACAGAGCCTGGAGCAGGGAACCCCGATCGATCAGGGAGCATTCTGGCTTTCTCTGGTGGGTCTGGGGCTCCTGGTGGGTCCTGAGCTGGCAGCTGAGACAGAAATGGGAAGTCCATTGGGGCGGATTGTTACAGGGGTTGCTATGGGGCTTCCAGTTGCTAGAGACACGGGTCAACGTAAGAAGCTTTCAAACCTAAGAGAGTTTTTGTGAATTTACTTGAGCTAAACTGTCAACAACTGCAGGGAGGCAAAATTAACGGATTGGAATACAAGTCCAGAGAATGGCCGTTTTGCACCTTTTTTATACATTGCAAACCAAGGGGAAAGACATAAGTGGGTGACATGAAATCCACTGGTGATAGATTAGGAAGTGATGGCGAACCTTTTGAGCTCGGCGTGTCAGCATTTTGAAAAACCCTAACATAACTCTGGTGCCGTGTCACATATAGAAATTTTTTGATATTTGCAACCATAGTAAAACAAAGGTTTATATTTTTGATATTTATTTTGTATATTTAAATGCCATTTAACAAAGAAAAACCAACCAAAAAAATGAGTTCGCGTGTCACCTCTGACACGCGTGTCATAGGTTTGCCATCACTGATCTGGACAAGCCACAATCTTTTTTTTAAAAAAGGAGGGAGCCGAAACCGGTTTGGCTCAGTGGATGGAGCGTCGGCCTGCGGACTGAAAGGTCCCGGGTTCGATTCCGGTCGAGGGCATGTGCCTGGGTTGTGGGCGCATCCCCGGTGGGGGATGTGCAGGAGGTGGCTGGTCGATGTTTCTCTCTCATCGATGTTTCTGACTCTCTATCTCTCTCCCTTCCTCTCTGTAAAAAATCAATAAAATATATTAAAAAAAAAAAAAAAAAAAAAAAAAAGGAGGGAAATACCTTTGCCGATTGGGAAAGTGTCTGCGTGATTTGGCACGGTGTGCTCCAGCCTTGGCGCGTGTCATAGGTTCGCCATCACTGGATTAGGGAGATAGGAGAAAGCAAAGCAGGTGGGTCGTCTCTGGGAATGGTAGGTAAGATGATAGACACATTCATCTTTTACATAGGGGGGTGCAGGATACTTAACAGTAAAATGGTAGTGCAACCCAACAAGCAAGGGGGTCCAGGCTGCCTGTCACTACTTGAGCCAATTAAGCAGAGACAGGGTTGAACCATATATGAGCGTTTATTCCAATAATGCCGGCAGCGTGGGAGAGCAGCAGGTAGAAGGACAAAGATTACGTGGGAAAGGAGGAATTCCAGGCATGGGAAAGCAGGCAAGGTATAATCATTACAGATTACAAATTATGCGGGCGGGAGCGGGGTGCGGTTGGCAGAGGGGGGTGCCTGGGGACCAGATTACAGGCAATAGGGGCTGGGGGTTGTAAAGAACAGGTGCCTCCAGGATTAGATTGTTTATCTTTCCGTAATGATAGGCAGCTTTCGGGACAGGAGGATGGAATGCACTCTGATGTCTCAGGGCGTCAACTCCCAGCCAGGTTAGAATGTGCTTTCTTTCTTTTTTTATGGTTGGCTTTTATTATTTATTTATTTATTTTTTTTTAAAATATATTTTATTGATTTTTTACAGAGAGGAAGGGAGAGAGATAGAGAGCTAGAAACATCGACGAGAGAGGAACATCGATCAGCTGCCTCCCGCACACCTCCCACCGGGGATGTGCCCGAAACCCAGGCACATGCCCTTGACCGGAATCGAACCCGGGACCCCTCGGTCCACAAGCCGACGCTCTATCCACTGAGCCAAACCGGCTTCGGCTATTTATTTATTTTTTAAACTTTTTATTGGTTAAGGTATTACAAATGTGTCTTTACCTCCCCATTGTCCCCTCACCCCCCCAGTCTTGCCCTCACCCTCACCTGTGTGTGTGTCCATTGGTTAGGCTTATATGTATGCATACAAGTCCTTTGGTTGATCTCTCCCCCTTACCCCACCCTCCCCTACCTTCCCTCTGAGGTTTGAGCATCTGATCGATGCTTCTCTGTCTCTAAATCTGTTTTTGTTCATCGGTTTATGTTGTTTTCTTTAATCAGAACAAAACAATAATGGTTAACAGAGCATGATTAGTATTTCTTATTTTATTTCTTATAATTAATATCTAGTCCCCAATATTATATTTCTGCCTCTAATAATAGACACGCACATCTTTTACATAGGTGGGTATAGAATACTTAAACAGTCAACAATTAACATAACAATGAGAGGATTTATGGTCTCCGCCCTGTGCCCTGAGGGGTCTGGAAAAAGGGGAGTTAGCCTGACATTCCAAAGGTCTGCTTTGGTAGATGCAAAAGACAATAGGCAGGCTCAGCAAAGGTAAAGATTGACTTTTTTGTCAGGGAAGATTCTAGCCTAGAACCTGCCATAAACTGCTTTTAGTTAAAAAGTTTTAATTTAAGACCATCCTTTGTGGTTACTTTAGGTTTCTGAGTTTGCAAAGCCACCACGCAAGCCTTCCCTGAGCTTGTCAACAGCACGTGGCTTACTCCACACACCTTCTGCAAGTCTGACTTCGAGCAGGCTGCCTCCTGGCTGGTCTCTGCAGGTGAGGGCTGGCCTCCCGGAGCCGGTGGCCACGGGGTGTGTCGCATTTGTCTTTACAGATGGCCTAGCCTGGACTGGTTCCACATGCAGGCCAGCAGCAAGCCCCGGGGTCCATCTCGATTTCTCCTTTCCTTCATTGCCTCCGATGCTTCAGGGCGAACAGGAAACCCTCCGGCAACATTACAGATGGCCCTGCGGGCCTCAGTGACCTCGTCGCCTTGCGCACTTGCACTTCGCGTAGGCCCACCTGTAGGACGGAGGCTCACCATCCGCTCCGTCTGCCTTTGGACCAAGTGAGTCCCGGTCCCGCGAACGGCGCCCCGCCCCCAGCGGAATAGCCCCGCCCACGCTTTGGGCCCGCCTCTCACTCTAGGAACCCCCCCCCCGCCCCGCGCCTGCGTACAGAGGCCGGATCGTCAGACCCCGCCCAACGCACTCGTGTCCCGTTGCTAACCTCCCAACCGCGCAAGCGCACTCCAAACCTCAGGCGACGCTCAGACCCAACCCGCGCACGCGCCGCACGCGCCGCACGCGCCCCGCGCGCCCCCCCCGCCCTCGCGCACGCGCAGGCCTCTCCCCTTGGCCAATGGGCGACGCCGTCGCTTATCCGCCGCTTATCTGCCTTGCGTCTGTCGGCGCTCGTCAGACAGTCGGGGTCTCAGGCTGACGTTGCTTGGCCTTCTGTTCCCCCGTGTTCGTGTTCCGGCTCCCGCCGTCCACTTCTGAGCGCCTGACACTCAACCAACCCCGGCCCCGACCCCAGCCCAACCCGCCGGCCGCAGCGCCCTCCCTCCGGCGCCATGTCGCAGAGCGGGACTCCCGGACTGCAGGAGGAGAGCCTGCAGGGTGAGCCGCCGGGGCTGGGGGTCGGGGAGGCAGCAGTGCGAGGCCTCCCCGGGACGGGAGCGGGAGCCGGGGCTGCGCTGTGGGGCGGGGAGCGCCGTCCCCTTCGGGGGGTCTGCGCAGCGGGCTCGGGCCGCTCACTGCCCAAAGACGGGGGTCCGGGGACGCCAGGTGGGTCTCCGGGACGTGGGAGGGCCCCAGTTGCCTTGTCCGCGGGGGTAGCTCTCGGCTGGGGGGTCTGGACACGGATTGATTCCACCAGCAAGCCTAAAATCTGCAGCGAAGGGCAACTGGAGATGCCACGGTCCTTAGAGACCGTGTTCCAGTTCGCACCGTGTAGTTCAGACCAGAGTGGGTTGTAGCGAGCGGAAGACTGGGCAGTGCTAGCCCTAGTGTCGGCTCGGACTCGCGAGGGCACTGGCTGCTCTTCTCAGTGTAAGAGGTGGGCAGCGTTTAAAAAAATGGTATCGGCGTGTGCACATGTCCCACTTGCACTGGAAAGTCACTCCAAAACAAAGCTCAGCATTGATTTGTGGCTTCAAAAAAGAAACCCGAGGACCGGTTCCGGCTGCTCCGTGCTGCAGCCGGTGCAGAGCTTAGGCGCACCTTGCCTGGCGCCCGCGCTCAGGGCCGCGCTGCTTCCTGGCAGCTGAGTGGTGGCAGCCTGGAGGTCCGCCCCGGGGCCTGGCTGCTCCGGGCCCATCCGGCGATCCGGGGGCCGGGGAGTGGGAGTAGGGTTCGGTGGCCGTCGACCTTCGTGTTCTCTGAAGCAAGAGTTTACTAAGCAGAATGAGCATGTAAATAAGCTGTAGGAGGACTGTTCAAACCTTCCAGAATGAATATTAAAATCGTTAATTATTCAGATAAAGTTAGTGAGCTTATTAGCCCAATACACTGTATAATGTATTTAAAAATTACACCCACATTTAAAAAAAATCTGTAATCTTCAATTTTGAAATTGCCTAATTATTTTGTTTGAACTAGATTAAGGGATTAAATCTTTGCTGTCTTTCCTCACACAAGACTCAAGGGGTGTTTTATAAGCCCTTCCTTTGCCTTACAACCACCCCTTTTCTAATGATCAAACTACTTACTTGCTAACTATTTTCCGTACTGGTTCAGATTTAGTTTGGAAGGTTCCGAGTCCTCCGAGGGGCTCAGGTCTCCCTCCCCTGATTGACACCGAACTGCTGAGTCACTGGCAATGCAAAAGGGCCAGCTCACGAATTAAAAGATGGGTTTTTCTGTTTTGCTTATTCTATAAAAAGGTGGTTACACAGGGAGTGGAAACTCATGGTAAGGGCTCTTTGGGCCATTTGCTCCTGTGTACGTGCGGCAGGGCACAGGCCTCTCTCCGGTCTGTGGGAGGAGCACTGGGGAAGGGCAGCTGCCCTGGAAATGTGAACCCGAGGATTCCTGGCCTGTCCTCCGCTCTGATTTGATTCCCTCTTGTTTACGTCTGACTAGGACTGAGCAGCCAAACCCACAACAGCAGCACTTTCCTCTTTCCTTGTATTGGCCAGGACCAAATGTTTTCCCCGGTTCACCTCCTGGCTCATCTAGTTAGAACTGTTGACTTGCAAGGTGTTCTCATGCCTTTTGCCAGGAGATATACGACTGCTGAACAGCCGGGAGATGGCGTTTTGGCCGATGTTTACACAGGGCGGGGGAGGGGAGGTGCATGGCTTCCTTCCCAGGAGGCCCCTCTTCGCTTGAGTGCATCCTTCGGTACCCAGCCTTCCCTGGGAGGCAGCCCCACCTCTTCCCAGGTGCTCACCACGGACAGAAGTGAATGAAGAGAGAACTAATGATTTATTTGAGGGGACTTTAGTACCATGCAGTTTGAGAGCATAAAGGGGTTTCAGACATCTGAGTCCTAGCCCAATTACTAATTTCACAGATGGTCACAGTCATCAAGCCCAGTGGGCAAGGGACAACATTAAAGGAAAAATCAGATGGCTTTATGTTCAGAATCACTATTTCCCTTTTTGGGGAATCACTTTTCAGTCAAGGCTTGTTCCTGTGCCACCTCTCCCAGGGAAGAAGCCCTCTGTGACTAGGGTGGTTGTCCCCCTCCCTCCCCTTAGCTGCTCTGCCCCAGGCTTTCCCTCTGGGCTGCCAGGCTGCCTCCCTCAGTTCTGACACTGATCTCACTTACAGAAAGTTGTTTGGATATTTGTCATTCCCTCTAGCCAATCATTTTCAACCCTGCCTCTCATTGTAGCTTTTCCAAGAGACTGTATTTGCTGGGGTCCTGCCCTAGCACTGCAGATCAGAACTTGCAGAGTGCAGTGGGTTGGCCTCTGGGAAGTGGAAACGCACCACAGGTGATTCTCTTTAGCCACTGATGGGACCTGCTACCTGGGGCTGTGGGGTGGCCTTGTGGGGCTCCATTCCCTCGGGTCTGTCCAGAAAAGGCTGGAGCTGGTGGACACTTAACCTCATCAACCTTGTTCAGAGGTTGGCTTGCTGTGTCGTTATGGTAAAATACAAGCAGGTGTGGCTGGGCAGCTAGGAATGAGGGCTTGCCTTGATCAGGAACAGCACCTGTTTCTTCCCAGGCCTCATTATGAGGCCAGTTATTGGGAGATGATTTTCGACTCTGAGAAACTTCTCTAAGGCCGCGCAGCAACCGTAACGCCATCTTTCTTACAAGACGTCAGTACGCTCCTGTACTTGCTCTTCATTTCCCGGTTGTTTAACGTCAGTAATACACCTTGCCCTTCACTAACCCATTCCTTGGCATATGCATATGGTAGACCCAAAGCTTCTGCTGCAGAATGGGATTTTTACTTCCTCAAGGGTGCTTAGGACTTTTTATGAGATGATTCTAAAAAGCATATATTAGTACTTGTCTCCATGGAGCCATGAGTTGGCCCTTGAGGTATAATAAAATATATGGACACCTGAAACTAATATGTCATGTATCAATTATACCTCATTTAAAATTGTTTATTTGGTGTTCTCTGTTTACTGGCACAGAGCTCTAAACCCTTGGGAGTTCTTGAATGATAGGATTGTCTTTGCTATTCATCAACAGCCCCTTTTGTAGGGAGTCCCAGCGGAACACAGGAGTCTGCTCATGAGGTGACCCGTGAGGCCCTGGGGAGCCTCAGGGTGCAGGTGGAAAGACCAGCTCAGTGATCAGAGGGTGGAATCCAGGAGGAGGGACTGGAGATTGGGTTATGCTGATCCCCACCCGAGGATATTTTTTTCCATTGATTTTTAGAGAGAGAGGAAGGAAGGGGGAGAGAAAGAGGGAGAGAACCATCCATTGGTTGTCTCACGCACGAGGCCAGGGATTGAGCCTGCAACCAAGGTACAAGGCTTTGACTGTAATCGAACCCAGGACCCTTCAGTCCCAGGACCTATGCTCTATCCACTGAGCCAAACTGGCTATGGCTAGAGCCTGGGCTATGGAACCTTTGAGCTGGGAGGGTGGTGCACAGGGAGAGGCCTCTTGGCGCCTCCTCCAGTTGGCTGCTCCTGAGTTGTGTCCTTTCTGGTAAATGGGTGAACGTCAGTAAAGTTCGGGAGTTGTCCTGGTGAGTGTGTGTGGAGGGTGGGTATTGTAGGAACTCTAGAATGTGTGGTCTGTCAGGCAGGAGAGGGGGAGGCCTGGCATCCCCTTGGCTGGTGTCTGATGTGGGGGCAGTCTCATGGGACTAAGCCCTTTAACTTGTGGGACCTGACCCCGACTGCTGGTAGTGGCGGCATTGACTTCAACTGTTAGACGGCCAGTTGGTATTGGAGAATTGGTTATTGGTGTGGAAACCCTCACACATGTATCAGAGGTGGTATCCAAAGACTCTGTTTACATCAGATACCATAGTGAGCTGATCTAGTACGTTAAGCCAGGCCCAGAATCCGACTAACCTGCTGAACCTAGGAAAATGGAACTGTGCCCAGCACGGGGCCGTGGTACTGTTCCATGCCACCGCGCCAGAGCTGGCGTGCTAGTTGGCTGAGTATCACCTTGGGTCCCAGGGGAGGAAGGAGGGCTTGAACTTTTACATTGATGCGTGGGGGTGGGGTGATCAGAACGCGCAGAAGATGGTCGGCAGCCTTGATGAGGACACAGTGAGTCTCTGGAAATGATGAAGGCTCTGAAGTCACGGTAGCCTTTGCTCAGAGCAGAGGCGCAGTGGCCTGGGCTCCTGCTGTGTTCATGACACGCAGCGAGAGAGGCTAGCGAAGGGCGTGCGTTGGTTTGAAAATGTGCGTGATGGTTTGGTGGAAGCGCGCTGGGAGGCTGGGTTCCTGATGCGCCTTTTTCTAATATGACAGAGGCTAGCGAAGGGCGTGCGTTGGTTTGAAAATGTGCGTGATGGTTTGGTGGAAGCGCGCTGGGAGGCTGGGTTCCTGATGCGCCTTTTTCTAATATGACAGAGGCTAGCGAAGGGCGTGCGTTGGTTTGAAAATGTGCGTGATGGTTTGGTGGAAGCGCGCTGGGAGGCTGGGGTCCTGATGCGCCTTTTTCTAATATGACAGAGGCCATTGAGCGCCAGCGGACTTTGAGAAGGAGGTGCCGCTCAGTGTGGAAAGTCATGAGTGGCTGGGGTGCCGCCCGGCGGTTTGGGACCAGCTGCTCAGTCCCCTCACCTCTGGGAGATGATTACTGTAATATAGTTAGTTTGCTGAGCTGCCCAAAACATGGATTTTCCAGTCTTCTGTTCACTCCGCCTTCACTCTGTCCCTACTCTACCAGTGATCTAGGGACACACAGATGTGGAGATACACAGACGCAGGGCACAAAATAGAGAACTGTCCTGGGCCCGTGCTCTTCCCAGCCCCTGAGCAGAGGGAGAAGCAGAGGCCGCCTTGTCAGTGAATGGAAAAAACTTACCCGGGTCAGATCACACACACAGATTACTTCAGGTTCACTGAACCCAGGTCCGAATGAGTGTCAGCACAGTGCAGCTTCTTGAAAATAATACAGTAGACTACCTTCATGACCTCAGATTAGGAGGAGGTCGAAAATCTGACTGATTAAAATCAAGAGTTTATGTTCATTAGAAGATGTGGAGTGAAAAGACAAACAGTGCAAGCTACTGGCAACACATTCAGATGGAGAAAGGCTGTTATCTTGAATATTGAACTGCTACAGACAGAAAGACCACGCCCCCCTTGTGTACACCGACCTGTCATCCGGGTGCACAGCCCTGAGCACCGCGGGCGCCACTCACCACATGCGCCGGCTCAGCTGGGTGGAGGGAGTTCATCCAGTTCACGCCCAGCACTGGCCTTTGGGAGATGCAGCTTCGCCGAAAGTAGTGGCTTCACTCGAGGGTTCTGTGCTGCGGGTGAGGGTGGCTTTTGTGTTGTTTGGTAAGACATGGCAGTTCTCTGACTCTATAAAACCCGTCTGGGTAGAATCCATTTGTTTGGGATTTATAACGTCAATTTTAGTTCAGGTTAGAAATGCTGAGCTCACTCCGAGAGGACTCAGCCAGGCGACTTGGGGGGATGGCTTGCTCTGCTTAGTCAAGTTCAGTCAGAAATCACCTTTGTTGTGTCCAGGGTGTATTCCTCTGGCTCCTGATGTTAATCAAGACGGAGCAGCAAGTATAATACTTGGGCCCTTCGGGTGAGAATGTGCCGCTGGTGTGTGGGAATCTTGAAAAGAGATAGTTTAAACCTTACCATTTAAAACTCAAGCTTTTGTTGGCACCCTCTTCTAAAAGTTGAGTGCAAAAAAGCTCTCCGGTCATTTGGACTCTGCTGCTGCAGACACATGTCCCAGCTCCTCAGGAGGGTGAGGCGGGACCAGCAGCTGTGCTGCATGAGCTGGAAATGGGTGTGGCTCAAGCCATCCGTGTGTCCCAGCTCCTCCGGGGAATGGAAGGGTGGACTGGCTGTCACGGGAGAAATTCTAACTGCCCTTGCTTTGTCCCCACAGGCTCCTGGGTGGAGCTGCACTTTAGCAGCAACGGGAACGGCAGCAGCGTGCCGGCCTCCGTCTCTATTTATAATGGGGACATGGAGAAAATCCTGCTGGACGCCCAGCATGAGTCTGGACGGAGCAGCTCCAAGAGTTCTCACTGTGACAGGTGGGTGCAGACGCATGCATGCCACAGTGCTGCTTGTACTAGGAGCGAGCAGGCGCGACTGTGGTGCCCATTCCCTTAGACAGCGGCTCCTTGTCCTCTGGTGGAAGGAGGGACCACGATGCAGCAAGGGGCAGACACTGTCCTGTCCCCTCCCCTGCTTCTGCCCCCTCGCCTCCAGTAGCTTTGTCAGGAGCAACTGTCCTCAGCACGGCCAGTGACTCAGGCAGCATGGCTGAGTCCGAGATCAAAGGCCAGGTGCTCACCAGGATTGTGTAACAGACCACAAAGCTAGTGGGTGACGAAACCACCACCCTCAGGCTATCCCGTGTCCTCCTGGGACTGGCTGGTGGACGCTTGTTGGGCTCAGCTGGAAGGTGGGAGATGGGTCTGGCCCTGGCCTTGTGCCAGTGGAAGGGAAGCTGCTCCTCACTGGCCATCCCTTCCGCAGAGCTTTGCCTCTGATGCAGAGAATGCTAACATGTTCTGTTTTTCCCACTCTCATTCATATCATTTTCTAGCCCGCCTCGCTCACAGACCCCACAGGACACGAACCGAGCATCTGAGACAGACAGCCATAGCATTGGAGAAAAGAACAGCTCTCAGGTAGGCCAGGGTGGCTGTGTAGTATGTGATCTGCTCCTGTGATCAGTCTGCAGTGGGACCGAGTAGGGAAACGTCTGGCTTTGAGAATGTTTCTTGCCTTTTTTGGAACGTGTGGGGTGAGGGCATCTCTACACCCGGGCTCACACTGAGCTGACTAATTATGGGCCCTCTATCCCATATACCTATGTCCTGGAGTGGGTGTGAGTGGCCTGTGGGAAGGGTATCTGGGTCATTAGTGGGTAGTCACAGTCTTCTTGACTGTAGGTTGGGCTGTGAATGGGTGTTAATGTCTACAGGAGAGCCGGCATTCTCTGTGAGCCGCTCAGGGCAGCTCTGCCATTGTGGTTGAAATGCTGACGGGCCTTCCTCATGCAGAGGAAGCAATGCCAGTTGCTTCCAGAAACTGTCCGCAGGCCGTGCTAGCTGGTGGGCGCTAACTGGCCATGCTAACGGGTGGTTTAGAGTTAGGAGCTAACCGGGCTGGTCATTTCAGCCCGAGGTCCCTGTTCTAACATGTCAGGCACTGAGCTTTGCTGTGAGAGTGAGTACAGGGTGGTGGCCCTAGCAGATGTGCATCAGTGGCGAAGGCCGGCCCTCCTTCGCTCAGCTGGGCACACAGGAAATGCCTTTAGGTGCTGCTCCAGCCAGCGCCTAGTTCTCTCCCTCCCAGGATGGTCCCCTCAGAAGGACAGGAGGAATCCTTGTTCCCCAGGCTTTGTCTGGCACCAAAGGCTTCCAGGACTTGCAGGAGCTCCTGCCCCAGACACTTGGGTCCACTCCCAACTGGGGTGCCCTGATGTCTGGTTGGCTTTGCATTCTGGAGCAATTCTAAAATGTTCAGCAGTTTGTTTTTTTCGGATCCTAAAAAGGAATTTTATGCTCAGATACAGAATTTTTAAAATGCAAAAGCACCTCTAATCCTACTTTTTAAAGCCCCCTTCGCTAGCGCATTGTTGCATGATTTTACAAATGTAGCTGGATCATGGTCTAGGAGTTTGGCTTTTCCTGCCCTTTTACACGAGAGCAGCTTTCTCTCAACAGTTTGCTCCACAGCGTTCGCAGTTTTCATTTCCTGCTGTTGTGCCAGCTCGCCTTCGGCGTCTTTGTGGCGCCCTGTCCTTCATGTTGCTTCCTTGGGACAGTATTTGCTACTCTTACTGCCACCAGATCTCACAGTTGAGGCTTTGGCCACAGTGTCTGTCTGTTCGTAAAGGGGGAAGAGTGTGAGATGCAGCTCCACGGCTCACCCTCTGCCCACGGACCCGGCTCTGAGATCAGCCCCTGGTCTGATGCTGGGCGGGGGGCGGTGATTCCTCGGTTTTTAACATTCACTCTCTCTTAGTCTGAAGAAGATTACATTGAGAGAAGGAAAGAAGTTGAAAGCATCCTGAAGAAAAATTCAGACTGGATATGGGACTGGTCAAGCCGGCCGGAAAACATCCCCCCTAAGTGAGTGTTTTGAGCATCATGAACTAGCTTTGAGGCGGAGCCTGCCAGTGAACTTACAGCTCTTCCCTCTGCAGGGAGTTCCTGTTCAGGCACCCGAAGCGCACGGCCACCCTCAGCATGAGGAACACAAGTGTCATGAAGAAGGGGGGTGTCTTTTCAGCTGAGTTTCTCAAAGTCTTCCTTCCGTCTCTGCTGCTCTCACACCTGTTGGCCATTGGGTTGGGGTAAGTGATCCTGCATGGCCTGCCTGGACAGTTCTAGGTCTCAGTGACTTCCTTTTAAGCATTTTACTGAAATAATAGGCCATAAGTCACAGCTTATGTAACTATGTAAGCAAACATGTCCATGTGATCATTGTCTAGGTCAGGAAACAAACATGACCATGACCCTGGGAGCCCCGCCCCCTACCCTGCAGGCCACTGCCAGTATAGGCGAGGGCACATAAGCGGGACTGGTGCTGGCTGCCTTAGCCGTGCTGTCTGTGCAGGAGCAGATGGCCGGCCCCGCCTCAGTACCTGTGTGCACACTCTGAACACCCGTTTCTGCTGCAGAGAGGTGCTGTCACTCGCGACTCCTGCAGTCCCCTCAGCCGGGACACAAGGCTCTCCTCTGGCTTCTTGCACTAATGATGCAGAAAACACACAAGTTCAGCTACAGATCCTAAGGACCTTTGACCCAGACAGCACTGAGGCACTGGGCATGAATCTGGGGAGGTGGGGCTGCTCTTCTCTCTGGCTCACCCCAGCCTGTCCGGGGTGGTGGCCTCACGTGTCCTGCTGGGCGACGGTGCTCTATGGCTGCAGCTCACTGGACAGACTGGGTGTCTTCAGCTTCTGATTTAGGCTGATGCCACTTGGCAGGAGGGCTCGAGTCTGAGGCAGAGGGAGACCACAGTTCTAACTGCCTGTGGGAATGGCTTCCTGGGTGGGCTCCTCCATGTCAGCGTGTCCAGATTTATTGTGTCCAATGCTTTTCAGGGTCAGACTCGCCTGGGTGTGTATATGCAGTGATTTCTGGAGCTTTCTCCAGAACTAGCACTTGAGATTCTGAGGGGGCAGAGCCGTCAGGGTAGTGTCTGCAGCCAACTCCCACCTGGTAGCTGCCCTGCATCCTTCCTTCCAAAATTAACTTGACCCCCTGGGGCTCACCTCTCCAGTCACTGCCTAAGCATTTGCCGTGCCTGCCAAACTCCTCCATTTCTGTCCCCTTTCCTGGAGTCACACCCTCCTCTGCCATGGCCTCTGAGGTTGGTAGTCAGTACCATGTGCAGGACTTTGTCCAGCAGGCTGCTGCATCCCAGGACTATAGTGTGCTCATGCAGGTTGGGGAGTCCCTCCTTCGTGGGGGTGTTGAGGGCATGAGGCGACTGTGGAATGCAGCGGTGGGGACAGTGGGTAACGGTGCAGCCAGTCTGAGCTGGCGTGGGGACAGCAGGGCTCACGGCTGCCCGGTCGTCGAGTCCTGGGTCCACACTCGCCTCTTACTTTTCTGCTCAGGATCTACATCGGGCGGCGTCTGACCACCTCCACCAGCACCTTCTGAGGAGGAATTGGAATCGGCTTTTCACAAGGGAGCGGGATTCATACCAGAGCTTGCGACATGGCTCACTGAGGCGCGGTCCTGGCCTTGGTGGCTGGCCACTGTGTTGATTTGTTCTGTAAATGCTGGGTGCCTGATTTAGTGAGACGAAGAATAGACACTGGAAACGACGCTAACCTAGAACCAGCCCTACCTGTGGGATCAATCAATGAGCATGTCACACTAATACTACTGGAATAATGTGGTGGTAACTTTTCTTTGACATTATAAATATGAGTATAAATAATTTTACCATGCTAGTCATGATGTATGTATTTTAACTATCTGTAACCTTAATTCAGTTAAAACCTCTCCCTATTTTGAATGAATGAATAATGTTATTAAAGTGACTCCATAAATGGTTTGTCCCAAATAAACATGTGGCCTTACATTCACACTGCTGTAGGGCACCCTGTATGTGGATGCAGGTGTCTGTGAAGACCACGCTTCACTGTTAGCTGTTCTGATTTGTGTGTGATAGGGCCCAGGGCACAGGCCAGGCCCTGTGCAGTGCAGACACTGGCCTGCGTGCTGGGGCAGGGCGGTGACTGTAGTGACCACATAGATGATGCACCTAGGACACCTGCTAAAGCACCTTCCTTGTCCCCACTCGGGATTGCTGCATTTAGGCTCATTTGTGTTCATTTTTTTGCGTGCTCTGAGATTTAGCTTCATTCTAAGTAAATCAGTGTCTACTTTAGAAGACTGGAAATAGAAAACAATAAACTTTTGCCAAATCCTTCAGAGATTACTGTATTTGTATATGGTTTAAAAGGAAAACTGAACGCTTTAGGGTTAAACCAGGCATAGTCCCCCTGTTGTCTAATTATTCTCTCTTCGGCATGGTTTTTTCAAGGCTGCCCCTGGTAGGCTGTTTATGCTGTTGTGTATTTGTTTTACTTTTCCGTATTAAATGCAGTTGTTAAAATAAACGTAAAAATTTCCTTTTTAAAAATCTTTTGTTAATATTGAGATGATCCACAGCCCTCGCTGGCAGACAGCTGGCTGAGCGGCATCGGAATACTTTGGCATGTGCCCTCTCATTCAGCCAGCAAGCGTGTCTTTCCTGGGAAACAGGGTCTGTCTGCTCCTGCGCTTCTCTCTAGTGTCATGACATTGGCGTGGCACTCAGCATGTCTGGGAAAGGTCAGTGCCCATAGAATTAACACCTCTTAAAGAGCTAGTGACCCCCCATTGCCACTGAACCACCTGTCAGGCACCTGGGCCCTTGACGGGCAGGTGCTCTTGTTCCTTTCACTGATGGCGTCACTAAGCTCCTGGTGAAGGGCTGACAGTGTTTCCATAATGAGGCAGGAGACAAGGTTTTCTAGAGGCTTTTCCCATCACAGGACATCGTTCTAGCGGACAGTTTCCTTAAAGTGTGTATATGTATGTTTGTATATATATTTTTTTCAGGTAGGGTAACAGTATTATAATTAAGCTTTTGCAAACAGACCTTTACTATTAATACAAATAACACTTAGTCATTGAATAACAAGTAAACAATACACAATCCAAACAATTTTGGATTAAAATAAATTAAAACATGCCTGGCTGGTGTGGCTCAGTGGTTGAGCATTGACCTATGAACTAGGACAGTGATGGCGAACCTTTTGAGCTCGGCATGTCAGCATTTTGAAAAACCCTAACTTAACTCTGGTGCCATGTCACATATAGAAATTTTTTGGTATTTGCAACCATAGTAAAACATTTATATTTTTGATAATTATTTTAAATATCTAAATGCCATTTAACAAAGAAAAATCAACCAAAAAAATGAGTTCCCGTGCCACCTCTGACACGCGTGTCATAGGTTCGCCATCACTGAACTAGGTGGTCACGGTTCGATTCCCACATGCCTGGGTTGTGGGCGTGGTCCCCAGTCGGGGGGCACGTAGGAGGCAGCTGATGGAGGATTCTCATTGTTGATCTCTCCTGCTTCCTTCCTCTCTGAAATAAATTAGAAAGGGAGGGAGCCCTGGCTGATATGGCTCTTTGGATAAGGCATTGGCCTGCGGACTGAAGGGTCCCGGGTTTGATTCCCGGTTGGGTGGGGCACGTGCCGGGGTTGTGGGCTTAATCCCCAGTGGGGGGCCGTGCAGGAGACAGCTGATCAATGATTCTCTCTCATCATTGATGTTTCTCTCCCTTCCTCTCTGAAATCAATAAAAATATTTTTAAATAAAGGGGGGGGAGAGGGGTCAATGAAGTGATACTGATTTCTTTTTTATTTTTATTTTATTGATTTTTTACAGAGAGGAAGGGAGAGGGATAGAGAGCCAGAAACATCAATCATCGATCAGCTGCCTCCTGTACACTCCCCACGGGAGATGTGCCCGCAAGCAAGGTACATGCCCTTCACCGGAATCGAACCTGAGACCCTTGAGTCCGCAGGCCGACGCTCTATCTGCTGAGCCAAACCGGTTAGGGCAATATACTGAATGATTTCTTAGCTGTTGTCAATATCTATGTCCCCAATAGATAGGAAATGAGTCAGTGGCAGGCCATTTTAGAATAGCCCAGTCCTCTATGGTTAGTCTTGCAGGGGAGGTACCATCTGTCCCTCACAGACTTGGCTGCTTGGGAGAAAGTATTGCTGGACTGCCCAGACTGGCCGCTGCATCCTATCCTTGGACTCTCCCACCCACTGTGCGATGAGTGCAGAGGCCTACCTGGGAAGGGTGGGAGAGCCACCAGGGTGGTCCATCTTTGAAGGGGACCCTCTGCTATCAGGTGAACTGCCCCAGTTGCCACCACTGGAAAGGAGATGAGATGAACCTACTGAGTCCTAAGTGCAGACTGGTGAACAAAATAAGAGTTTGAGAAAATAAGATGTAGTATGCTATCGTTTATGCAAAAAGCCAAAGGAAATGTACACATCTCATTGTGCAAAAAGGAATATGGTGTGACTATGCCGAGAGAGGGGGATTGGCTAGAGGGGTGGGCGGGGCAGGGCAGAGCAGGAGATGGAAAGGTACGAGGAGGAACCATACTTTTTGTGTAAATGACTCAGACCCATAGTGATGCTTCCCTTATTGCCAAAGTCAACTAGAGACAAGGGAACCTGATGAATGAAACCACGCTAAAGGGGCGGGGAAGGGGCGTGGGGCCCAAACACTGGATCACAATGGGCTAGGCACTGTAAGGTAAGGTCCAGTGGACACAGCAGCACAGGTCTTGCTGGTAAATCTAGTTTCTGAAAGGGATGAATAAATAGGCCCCTGAGGCTGCTTCACTGTGTGCTGACCCTGAGCACAAGCACATCCTGGGCAGTGAGCCAGGCATCAGCAGAATTGGGGGGGCCAGCATGTGGCCTACGAGGGGCGGGGGGGAGGGGGGGACGGCTTGCACTGGAGGTGTGTTAGCTCAGGGCTTTCAATACACAGGGAGCAAGACAGAAACCTGGAGGTAGGTGTGAGTGCAGTGACTCCAACCTCCGCACTCCCTCCCTCAACCACAGGACAGTGCAGCTCCCGAGATCAAGGTGAAGCAAGCCCAATGCCCTCTGTGCCCTGTACTCACTTGCCAGTGCCTTTCTCTGGGAGAAGGACCCTCAGGAACGGGCTCCTGAGCCAGCTAAAGCGACCTGCAGTCGCAACCACAGTGACACCACAACCCTTGCTCTGTCCCATCCAAGACACAGAAGGCCGGCCTTCTACTTGGGGGGAAATACATTTTAAAGGAAAGATAAAAGTTGTCTAAATCCACAGTGCAAATCATTAAACATTGGAAATTCATTAAACTTTTTGGTCAAAATAGTGGAAATATATCCAACCCTATTTTACTAGAACTGCTTTTTCTTAAGGAACAGGGATGAGTGATTCTTAACTCTGTTCCACATCTCAGATTAGTAAACCATATCACAACCAATATACAGCATTATTTTTCAAGTAAAATAAATGCACTTTTAGCTTCTCAATTTCTAACAACGTGAACTTAAGTGGCGTTATTAATTCAGGGTAATGAGTGACAGCATTTGTGCATCACTGTCATTAGCAATCAAGACATACCTGCTTACCTGTTTTCAGAGTGAGCGTGAGCCCTGCTCTTCCCCTCCTCCCCCAACACTGCCTTGGGCTCAGGAGCGAGTCAGAAGGCAGTGCAGCCCCAGCAGTTAGTATGGTTACAGCTCTGTGGCTTGTCTGGGAATGCTGGTGGCCTCATCTTGTAAGGTGTTTGACTTTGCTGGCTTATGCACACAGGGTGAGTGAGCTGTAACAGCATGGTCCCCTCCCTGCGTTTAACAAATTAAAAGCAAGCACACATTTTCAACTGCAATGAAGTTGACAGGCATGGAACCTGGTGCTCATCGCACTGCAGCAAGTCTGTTCAGTTCCTTGCAATCTGCTTCCTCAGCGGTGAGTTACGGTGTCTCGGATCTTACCTGCTGTGTCAGAGGGAGTCTTTCTACAGAAACAAGCGAAGTTAGCAAGCTTGGGGACAGGCATGCTCAGAACTTCACAGGTCCTGCCACCTGCCAATGAAGGACAAGGTTCCAAGTTGTTCTGAAGCATGATTTGTACAACCTCATCATCTGTGATCAAAGAAAAAGGCAATACTTGGATTTGGATTAAAAACACTTTGTATAGTGTGTTGCTTTTATTAGGTGGTTACACCAGAAGGTGTGATGGAAGATACAGGCATGTGGGAGGTCAAGCTGCCTGAGCATTTGGCCAGTGGCCCCCGGGCGATTGGTACAGTAGCACGAGAGCCCTCATCAGATGGCAAGAGGACGAGAGAGTGATACGGGACAGGTTTTCTGTTGGGTGTTCATTTTTTGGTCTATAAACTGCAAAGGACGGCTCAGATTTAAATAAATACATTTATTGTAATGGCCTTTATTGAGCTCTGTCCATCAGTCTGCACCAAGTTTTTCGCTTGTGCAGCGGCCCCCCACAGCCTCCCTGGCTGTGTGTATGCAGGCTCCAGTCTAGGAAGGGAACAGGGCGCGCACCCTGCGATCCATGGAGAGAACACCCCTTCCACAACAGAAACCACAGGCTTAGCTTTGCAGGATGAGATGCGTTCTCACACTTCCTAGTTGACTTTGTCCTGGAATATATACAGGTTATTGGTGGCAGCCACAGCAATAATGTTGTCGTTGGGGTGCCAAGCCGTGTGCAGGATCTTCTTATTGAAGTCCAGACTGTCTACACTGATCTCGTCCTTCTTCCTCTTCCCGCCTGGACACACTCTCCGAGGCTTCAAACTGGCTCGAGGCTTGCTGTTCTCTCTGGAAGCTTCCAGGGTCACGTCCCTCCTCGTGTTTCTGTCAAACATCCTGAAGAAGTTGTTGTAGGACCCTGTCATGATAGCACTGTTCAAACAGAAAGAGAAGCACGTGTAAGCCAGCAGGCACTTGACGCCCCGCCACAGCACTGAACCCAGCACAAGACAAGCCATGTGGTCACTGGTACTCCTGTAACTACATAACAGGACAATTCTTAGAAACAAGACATGAAAAGGAATCATGGTCAGGAGAGAAATGCAGTGAGAATTTCTTACTGAACTTCATATATATAAAACACTTTCATAAAGTCATGTCAGTAAAAACAAGTATTACAGAACAAAAATGTAATGGATTCATATTTTTTATTACATTAATACATTTTTAAAAACTGTAAAAAGAACCCTACTACATATCATCTGTCCTGGTGATAACAGTGTAATTTATTTCCAAGGCTTAACTTCTGTATTGTATCAGTGATTTGAAGTTGATATCCATGTTCATATTCAATAGACATTTGTCTGGCTTGGCACAGTAGCTTCATTCACAGTTGATAAAAGAATGTGTTTTTAATTAATTTCAAAAATATTTTTTACAAGAAGAGAAAGTCATTGGGAGGAGAGTGGGAGAAATTTAGAACCTCATTCATAATTAATTCCAGATGTTGCAATACTGTTTCTTCAGGACTAATTCTAATAGCTTTCAGTAAATCATCATTATAACACATTTTTATTACATTGGTTAAAACTTCCAGTCTTTTTCGAGAAAAATGGCGGAACAATAGTGACAGTTGCCATGACTTCAGCCCTGGCTTCAGAAGGTGTCCAGTTCTGGATGAGATGTGTTCAGACAACACCGCTGATTTCTCCCAGCGAGACACGACCAGAATCCTGGCCATTTCTGCAGTCTTCTTCCTCTAACACCCACATCCTCCTGTTTCCTCACTGCATGAGGAGCTATGATCTTTCAGTCACCCTGAGGGGGAAGCCTGGTACTTCATTTACCTGGTTCAAGGCTGATCCCAGCTGTAGGCAAATACTTGACTGTCTGATTAACCTTGTCTAGAACTTCACACCAGAATAAAAGATAAACTCAGGAGAAAAATTACTCCCAGCTAGCTGTACTTATTGCAACTGTGGGAACACTGCCAGATGTGGCATAAGTGGACTCCCAGCGGCGGCTGTCCGTTCTTTAGACAACCTAGAGCATGCGGCAGGGCTGCTCAGCTGCAAGGCCCAGGCCCTCCTCCCCTTCACCTCACCCTCAACAGAAGCTTCCATGCAAAAAGGCAGGGGAGTGATCGCAAGAATGAAAGAACAAGTAAACATTACTGGAAAGCTTTTGGAAGTTCCTGGGGACAGGCAATTTAAATGATTTTTTCATGCATTCAGATATACCAAAAAGCATAAATATACAAGAATATGTGTGTACCCACAAGCCACCCCTGACAGTTAAATCCTGCTGTGTCCCCTGCGGCACAAGCACTCAAGGTCAGGGTGCACCACACTGTACATGTCTATATTCTGAAGAGTTACATGTTCTTAGACAAACACTGTCCTGCAATCCTAAATATCACATGTCATCAAACCATGGGTATCCTTGCAGCTTGCTCTCTGTGCTCAGCGCCTTCCTGAGACCATCTGTGGGGCACACGTGGTTTTACTCCATGCAGCAACTTCCAACCACTGCACTCATTATTTCTAGAAGCTCTGACTGATTCTTGTCCATATCTCCTAGGCCACTTTTGTCTTGTGCCTGTTCAGGTTTTGTTCCTTTAACCTGTGTTTCTGGCATTCTTATTTTATATTCTGTAATGTCTGATTTCAATATCTGAATTCTCAGAGGCGAAGTTCTGTTGTCTCTACTGACTCCCGGTGGCATGGTAGTTTTCGCCGGTGAGCTCGCGTGAGCCCTGGGTGTACCTGCAGGGGCTCTCTGCCACGGGTGTGGGCACTCCTGCAAGTTCTCGGGGGGCTTGTCAAGATGTGGTTCTTGAGTGCTCTCCACTTGGCCCACTTCTAGGGTTGTATCTGCAGTGGTCCAAGTGCAGGCTTGTTTACCACTTGCTATAAAAAGCTCAGTGTGTGCTGTCTGTGACACAGCCCCCCTGCTTGCATGGCATCTGCCTGGGCCCCTCGTGTCACTCCTGTGGGACTGGGGGACCAAGGCCAACACGAAGCTCATGCTGCTTTGTTGTGCCATGAAGAAAGAACAAGTCCTGTCTCTGACCCAGGAATCTCACGACCTCAGCCAGCACCCATGAAACACTAAGCCTGACGGGTAAGTTGGGCACAAGCCCAGACTGGAAGCCAGTTTACTCCTGCAGACATGCAGAGCACCTCACCCTCAGCACAGATCATGCAGCCAGTGTAGATACAAACTCTCCATCGCTGTGACAGAGGGCAGGTTCGTGGTCACAAATCCCAGGATTTTTATTGAATTCTCCTGAGACCCCATCTGAATGCAGACAGATACCTTTTCCATAACCCACGAGGACCCCCGTTTCAATGCCCTGTCTGCGTGGGCCCATAGTGTGACTGTACCACCTCTGGGCTGTACAAGCTGAGGGGTCCTGGCTCCCTCATTTCTGGCCCTTGTGAGCTCAACTGTGCACGTGAAGAAATGTGTGGTGTCATACCCAGCGTTCCTACTGTTTGTGCTGAAGGGTTTTTCAGAATGCCCGCCAGTCCCTCACTGCCGGGAGCGCTACGTGACACAGTTCTACTAAAGATGATGCAAGATCATCTCCTGCCATCATCTGAGACAGAATTTTTTGATGATATTATTTAATTCTCAGCAATAGTATTATCATCTTTAAAGAATGCAAAAAATAAACTATCGATGTAACAGAATTGTCACATTATAAATTAAAGGAGGATTTCACCCTGGCCCCCTCTACTCTGTCCAAGTGTGACAACCAACAGCGCTGAGGGTTTTCTCCTGCTTCTCTCTGGAAGAGCAGGCCCTTCCCATACTTACTAGTAAATGACCTCCCCCTTCCTCCCCACTCATTTTGGAGACAGAAAATAAATTATCATTCACCAAGCATTCAAAAACCATCAACATGAACCTAGTACTGCGCTGTCTAAATATGGAAGGAATTATGAGCAAGGGGAGAAATTGGCTGAGACATCCTGCCTTCCCCACCTCAAGACTGTCACCAAACAGATGGCCTGGAAAGCCAAGTCCATCAGCATCCTCCACGCAGCTTGCCATCTGTCTCTGGAAGTCACCTGTTGGCCTGAGGAGACCCATGGGAGACGAGCCTGGGCAGCGGTCAGTCTTGATGCAGGCTTACCTGTCTGGACCGTTCCAGCAGCACTCAAATTTGTCGAAGATGCAGTCATTTTCGTACAGAGAACACAGCTTGCTTCGAAGGTACTCGTGGACCTTAATGAGATCACAGGATGGTTAGAAAGCGTCATGCGTGAGATGCGGTGTGTCCTCGCACAGAGGCCTCACCTGGTGGGTCTCGACGGGCCGGCTTTCCATGTTCAGATCCCAGACCTTCACCGACAGGTAGTCTCGGGTCATCATGTACCGACCACTATGGCTGAATTTCACATCAGAGATGGAGGAAATTATTTCTGAGAAGAAAGACCTACTGCTGGGATCTTCAGGTTCTTCAAAAACTGAAAAACACAGTATTTTCGACTTCTGTTTAGAAACTGGACAAATCATTTTGAAGTCCCAGCAGGACCTAGGCCCTCCCGGACACTTCAGAAGGCTACTGCTCAAGCTTCTGATCTCCAGGCACTTTCTGGTGTTCCACTTCTGTGCTTAAGACGTTTAGGCAGGCCTCTCAGTGCCAGAGAGTGACAAGGGGCAGCAACAGAAGCACGGGCCCCGATTCCACCCAGCTCCGGCCCAGCATGTCCATGCAGGAGGCCTCAACTGCTACCTGGAGAAGTTCCCCACGACATGCTGCCTTGTGTCCTGGTTAAGGCCCTGGGCTGACTGGAGGCTGTTACTGCACAGACAGCTGCGTGTCCTTGTGGCTCAGGCCCTAGCAGACATGTCCAGCCTTGCCCCATCCCTATAACTGGAAGTTAAGAAATGGCATCACATGAGAACGCAGGTGCCATGCTCAGGGTGGCTGAGAAAGTGCCCCCACGTCTGCTGAAGGTTTGCCGTTCCAGCAGCTCAGACATCCTGTTTTCCCCACCTCAAGACTGACCATACCTCCACATGGTCCAAGTTTCAATAACCACCTACTTCAAGGTTTGTTTTCACTACTCCATGGTCATGATCTACTGACAAAACTGGATCGCTACTTTCAGGAAGATCCTCATCTTCCTTGGCAAATCTTACTGTCTCCCAGTTCTGCTCTCTCGGCAGTGAGTCCATGGTCTTTCACCCGTGTCGTCGTGGAGGCTACGCCTGCACCTGAGCCCTGGGCACTGCCATGCTTTCGGCTCAGCCATCTTTGGGCAAGGAGGTCGGCATGTTCTTTCATTTTAAACTGCTTTACTTTTTTTTCGAACCTGTACGTTTGTTGGCGCTGTTTGGAACAGGATGGTTTTTACTGGGGCACACCTCAGGATCCTCCAGCAACGTCTCCATAACATACATCACATCCCCAAGACATGTAGGATGATTTTCTATAAAGTTGGGCCTATTCTTTATGGGTAAAAATAAAACGAACCCACAACTTTCTTTACCTAGGAGAGTCAAGGCTTGGGATTGAAGTGCTAGACTTTCCTGAGAGACTGGCTGCCAGTCCAACACAGCTAACAGCTGAGAAGGGTCACAGGGCAAATGCATCCTGGAGGCCCAACCCAGGTCCCTGTGACGATGCACCGAGACTGGGGGCAGAGCCAACCTACGGTGGCTCCAACACGAATGTCTCTGGGAAGCAGGACCTCTTGGCAATGGCCCATGACTGATGGAACCAAGGAGGCCACAAGTGGGCCCAAGCGTGGGGGCAGAAGAAAACCTTCAGCCTTTGCACACACTCCAGAGTCTGGACAGGATTTAAATGAGCTGTTTCCAACAGGCGGGCACTTACACTTAGAGTGTCGGTCGCATAGGGCCGAGGAGCGCATGTCACACAGCCGGATGGTCCCCTTGCTGCTGCTGTACACAAACACGTTGCACTGGTGTGGATGGAACTCTGCTGCGGTGATCACCTCCGTCAGCTCCTCCATGTTCGCGGGCTTAATGTCCACGATGTCTGGAAGCGCGGTTAAGGCAGAGCGCCTGGCGGTTTTAGTTAGTCCATGTCAAGCAAGGTTCTCCCCGCAGTGAGGTTTAAGAGATTAGCTGTGAGGGAGCCCTTCAGTAAGAGGATTCACACTGATGCATTAAGCAGACTAGTATAATGGGCCTGACAGGGTTGGACACACGGACACACATACACACACACACACACACACACACGCACTCTCTCTCTCTCTCTCACCAGTGCTGCTTTCCTCCTGTTGCTGCTTCAGATGTTTTATGAAGCCTTCATATAGATCACACAGATTTAATGACATAAATAAGAAAAGCAAGCAAGCACCCACCTGCACAAAAATCTCATGCTCTATCCATAAGTAACCACACACACACACACACATATACCACACACGGTATCTCCAAATTCCAAAAGATTCTGCTTTCCCAAGTATCTGACATTCAGAGCTTGTGCTAAACAGTCACCCAGGGTCACATAGTAGGTCGCCAAGTATAGCCATCACTGTAGTGAAAAAACAAAAACAAGAGCAGAAGCTGCCTCTCAGATGTGTCCTGCCACACTGAGAAAGCTGACACCTGGGTGACAGCATGGCAGTGACCCCAGGGGTGTGCCGGGAGGGGACCCAGGGAAGCTCCGGGCATGAGGCTGCGAATGCCAGAGAAGACTCCCAGCAGGCCCAGGGCAGCTGGAGTAAGAACCAGGGCCACAGATGAGAGCGCAAGGCCCAGCTCTCAGCTGGCCAGCTCAGAAGCAGGGAGCCCAAGGCACACTGAAGGGACAGTGGTCACCGGAGGAGCCCCAGGGCGGCTGTCAGAGTGCAGAAGGGGCAGGGACAGGCACTGGGCAGGCGGCTGAGCATCTGGAGAAGCACATTAGCCCCTATTTCTATCATGTGAGCAGATCAAAACTATGTTTACAGTGTTCATAGGGACAACTAAGTATAAGAAAGTATGTTTTATAATCTCTGTCACAGGAAAGGGTGTGTGAAGCATGATTATGGGACAACCATTGTTTAATAAGCAATGAAAGGTATGATTGTATAAACCTAGCTGATTTGGTTCAGTGGATAGAGTGTCGGCTTGCGGACTGAAGGGTCCTGAGTTCAATTCTAGTCAAGGGCACATGCCCCAGTTGCGGGCTCGATCCCCAGTAGGGGGCATGCAGGAGGCAGCCAATCAATGATTCTCTCTCATCATTGATGTTGTCCTTCCTCTCTGAAATCAATTAAAAAAAAAATATGTAAAAGATATGATTGTATAAACAAAGCCTTTGTGTATTAGAGTTCTCACAGATCATTAAGGGAAAACAGGAGCTTCCAACAGGAGAAAAAAATGACAAAGGACAGTAAAAAAATAAAAAAATGGATATTAAGTTAATAGAGATCTATGGCTCCAAAGACTGTTACATATAATACAGGAAAACGTGTATAATTAGTCCTGCAATTGTAAGTCTGTACTCCTACTGACATGGAAAGATGGTCATATGTTAAGAAAAAAAATGAGGTTAGGTGGGGTGAGGCAGAAGAGAACAAAGGGAGGAATAAATGGTGATGTAAGGAGACTTGCCTTGAGGTGATAAATACACAACCCACTATACAGATTATGTATTGTAGAACTATTTACCTAAAGCCTATATACTTTTATTAACCAATGTGAACCTAGTAAGTTCAAATAAAAAATAAACGAGGCTAATAGCCATTGCATCACTCTCTCTTAGTTTTTACAATAACCCCAAGAGGCACATTCTAGTCCCTCACCTTTACAGAGGAAGATGCCAAGGTCACTGAGCTGAACTTGGGCCTCCTGATCCTCCCGGGTGCTAGGAACTTTACTATCACTGTGTAGAGGACGAGCCTGGTGTTTTCAAAACACAAAAACTTGTGCACATGGGCGTAAAAAGCTTGGAAGGATATGCATCCAACTACTTACAATGGCATCTCTGGTGGGCTGGACTATGGGGGCAGAATCTTCCTTCCTCTCTATTGTTTCAATTCTATTCAGAAGAAGAATGATTAAAAATCTAAGGGTTTAGAGGAGAATAAAGAAAAAGCGGGGCATGAGCATAAATATAAGTATCAAAACTTGGGAAGTTTTGCCCAGTTGAAGAAAGAAGAGAACAGGGGAGCCAGGCACATTGCTCCTTCCCAAGTGGGGCGGGGCGCTCTGGGGCCGGCATCCCCTCACTGCGGCACCACAGAGGCCTCCGCACTGTCAGACAGCTTCATAAACTAAGTGACCTCATGAAAAAAACCACCAACTCAAGTCAAGGACAACAGCTCATAAAAATTAAGTGTGAAATGCTAGAATTTAAAGTCGTATACACTTCATTTCCTGAGATTTATGTGCGTAAAAGGCAGACAGGCACATGCCAAACCATGAGCCTCGGCACAGCAGTAGTCAAGACTGCTCTGGCTGGCTGGCCAGCCAACACTCCAAAATGTGGAAAAATGTGACTGAAGCTACTTGATTTCAGAGGGTCCTTATTTTCTGGGAAAATTAATAACTTTTAAAATGTGTGATCAGACAATAAATTTAGATTTTCATCCTAAAAATAATAGCATATATCACTTAAAAGATGAATTTTTTACTATTCCTTAAATTGCATGTCTTCCACGATCAGTCACCTCTGGGGTTGGGTACTTAAATATCATTCTAACCAAAGCCAGTATTTTCTATTAGCAAATTTAGTAACACCTCCCCTCCCCTCAAAAGCAACGCTGAACTTTCAAATACATACTACATAAAACTGCCTATGATTTAACCAGGAAGGCAATGGACTTGAGATCAGGCCCAGCAGAGGAAACTTTTCCCAAAGGTAGAAAACAGTTCCAATTCAAGGAACAGATCCTTTAAACCACAGAGAATTTACATCCCTGGCTGCCAGGCAGCAAAGACTGGAGGGGGGTATAGCGCTGAGAGCTCCCTATCAAAGAACAAGCCTAGGAAAGTGCGAGACCCGCCCGATGAAGGATACTAAAGCTTCTATCTGTGATCTCTAAATGCCACAGATTAATTCTCAGGTCATCTGCAGAAAGATACGTTTCATGATCACTGTTTACGGAAATGGAATTTATATGGTATGTGTGAGCATTTGCAAAAATTCGTCGTGGACTTGCTTCTACCATGAGGTCCATGGGTTTCAATATTGGGACCTAAAATTGGAAGAAAACAGGAATTCAAAACAAGACCACAGCAGCATATAATCAGAACACACAGCAGATAACAAAAGAGATGAATCTCCATTCACAGTTCAGTGACAGCTTTGTACTATAACACCCTAAATAGCAAGTGACAGGGCTATGGAAATAGGCTACAATATGGGAGGTTGTCTATTTCAAGCTGCTCCTCCTGGCTGCCACTACCAAGGCTGACACCTTGTGGAAGAAAAAATTAAACTAGCACCTGAACAAACTGCCTTCAGGACTCTGATGCCTAATGATGTGGCTTCACTGTCCTGCCTGTCCCTGTGGCTATGGGAGGCTCAGCTGGACCCTCCCTTCCCACCACTAGTGCCTGCTGCTCCACACACACAGCACAGCAGTGGCGGGGTGCAGGGCTGGAGGAGCGCACAGGAGGGACCCGGGAGCTGCTGTTTCTCAGTCGCACTGGCTGCTGCACTTGTGCTCCTGGGGCCGCTCAGCTACATGGCAGGGGCATTTTCTGGTGTATACATTATACTTCAATAAAAGGTTTTAAAACGGGGGCACAGAAACCCTATCTCTTCCAGGGAAGGGGGGACCTACACCGAAATGGAAACAGCAGAGAGGTGTTCGCCAGGCGAAGGAAAAGAGGAAGGGCCACAGCCTGAAGGAGGGGCTCAGTCGTGGGTGACAGCGTCCACATGTGATAGAAAGAAAAAAGGACCAACATCACTGACATCTAGCAGAAAAGGAGCTTTATAATCCAAACAAAAATTAGTGATAGTATTTTTTGTTATTTTTGTAATTTAAAACCAAAAGGTAGTGCCTTAAAGGACAAGAAGGGAAATCTCTCATTTTAGTCTTCTCTGGCCAAAATTCTTTGGGAAATGTGCACAAAGAGACTTCTCTCACTTTTTTTTTTAATTGATTTTTTTAGAGAGAGGGATAGAAACATCAATAAGAGAGACCCATCATTGACTGGCTGCCTCCTGCATACCCCCCACAAGGGATCGAGCCTGCAACCCAGGCATGTGCCCTGACTAGGAATCAAACCGGTCATCTCTTGGTTCCTAGTTCGACTCAACCACTGAGCCACACTGACCGGGCGACTTCCCTCACTTTAAACCAGTTAAATGCTGACCACACACCTGCTTTCTCTAGAATGGGACATGTTAGCCCTATGTGGTTTGGGACAGGCCTGGCATACCCCTCCAATACATACATGTCTCATGTCTAGTAACCAAAACACAGGACAACTGAATACTTATAATAGAAGACACCTTCCTCTAATTAATGAGGCCTATTTTCTAACACTAAAATAATTTAAGAGGAAAAGAAAATTTAGGAAAACCAATAGTTCTCACTCTTACCCAGTTAAGTTTAGATAACTTAAAAATCCATGTGAACCTCTAGAGGCAGTTAGGGTGCACACACAGACCTGAATTCACAGGTGCGTCAATGTAGTTCCCCAGCCTGTGACCCCGTACCCCACCCTGCGATAAAGAAGAGTAGTTTATACAGAAACTGCTTTTCTCATATGCTTCACCAGCCACCAAATCCACCAGTTTTATTCAGGCCAAGCACATAAAAGCAGCCTTGAATAAAACCAAGATTGATCCTAATAAGACCTATAGCTTTTCCAAAACAGGCATGTGGGTGTCACATGTAGCAGCAGGCATGGTCAGAAGGAGCTTGGGTACTGAGAAAGGGAGGTATGCTCAGGTGGGCGGCAGTGCTGGGGACAGGTTGGGGCAGGAGAAGTGCACCCCACGTGGTCCCATCCTGCTCCTCTCTATTACACTTGACAGTTGAAGTGAGCAGCTCACAACAGTGACTGTACCTTAGTGTCACTGTCACAAACAGGGACCATCTACACTATCATGAACCACGGATCCAAAAGCAGAAGCACGGGCGTCAGAAATCACCAGCTGGATCACATCCTGGTTCAAATTAGGGTTCTGTAAACTCAATTTCAGCACATTACCCAGCTTTCCTGGTCTCAAACCCCCAGAAACAGGGCAACACTATCGACCTAAGAGGCCTTACGGTGACTGGCCCATCCTGCATGTCTCCTTGGCAAAACATCCCAGTTTTCCTAACTGCTGTGGCACTGCCTTTGCTGCTGGGCTGGGGCTCCGTCCTGTGCACCTATCACCCCAGCACCCCGCCTGCACCCAGTGCAGGAAAGCAGAGGAATGGCATTACACAGACAAGCACATGGCCCAGCGTCACTACAGTGGGCCAAGTGGAGGAGTCCTGCAGCAGTGTCCCTCTCTGCAGAGCCTCTGCTACAGTCTGAACGTGTGCATACCAACCTTCGCCTGATAAACAAGTAAACACATTTAGAAACACGAGGCCGCTTTGTGTCGGGACCCTCTGCACCACCATGGGTGCCCATCTTCCTGCGCCGTCCTGTGCACAGTGGTACTCCCTGGTGTCATATGAGGCATGCCTGGCCATGACTCACGTGTTTACCTCCTTCACGTTTTGTCACATTTAAGATACTATCCATGGCATGCACCTCCCCCTCTCCCTCTCAGGACAATTACAAGACACTGAGATTTTAAGTTTTACTCAATCTCATAGATGTTAAAAATGTGAAAAAACTTAGGTATCAGAACTGATGAAATACAGCCATTTCATTCTATACCCAGCGCACCAAAAAGCGAGTGGAGAATTCAACAATTAAAAAAGTAACGATGCTCATGGACTGACAGGCAAGGATTCCGAAGCGTTAGACCTGCCTCAGTTAACTCAGAGAAAATCCAACTAAAACCACCATAAATGCATCTTGGTGGCCTGTAGCTCATCTTTCAATCTGCAACCTGTGCTATGTCACCTTGGGAGGTGTTCTCAATTCCTCCTGGTCGTCAACCCGCTATGTGCTAATCTGAACCTGTACAGTGAAAGGCAGTGGATACATTTAGAAAGGCTGCTGTTGTGGAATTAAATCGGAGTCTGTTCTTCAGTATTACTGCATTTTCTGAAGCTAACGTGTGACTTTTGCTCTTGTGAAATATGAGAAATCCCATTTCTAACATGCATACATACAATGACTCTATTATATAAATAACTTTCTGAATCACTAAGGCAGATAATAGCTGACTTAGGCATTATTATTGATCAATTTATGAAAAATACTGATAGTTTAAAGAAAACGGAATGTATACCCGCAGTGCTGTAATTCTAAATGGGTCTCGAAGTCGTCCATCTTCATCTTTCAAGTTATAACCTTCTGCTCTTTTATCCCGTTCACTTATTTTCCATAATTTAATAGTTTTATCTGAAAATAAAAACCTCATTTTCCATATTAAAAGAAAAAACCATACTATCATGCACCACTGTTAGTTGGGTATTATACTAGAGAAGTGTGTATTTCCAATTATGGGTGGACACTCGTTTCTTACATAAGTAACGGTGTCAGAGCTGAAAATGGGGAGGGTACCACTGGCGCTTGGTCCACATGTGGAGCGTTTTCTTTTCCTTTTCTAAGGATGTGGTACTGGGAGAGTGTGTGTTTGCATTATTTGAATTTTCAACCTATCACTTGTTTCCTAGCTAATAATTACCCTCCCCACAAAGTTTAAAGCAGAAATAACTTCTATAATGGGTAAAAGACAAAACAAAAACAACCTACATATAGAAAATGAAATCCTAAATCAAATAGCCATTAAAAACAAAAGTCTTACCGTTTGTAGAGAGTAGAAAATGAGCAGCATTCTGTTGTGGTAACCACCTAATTTTATTAATTTTTTCCTCAATTTCTAGACTTTTCAAATAGTCAAATTCTGGTTCATGACTTTGAAAGGTACTGTAAACATTATATTCTCCCCTAGAATGAGGGTGGCTTTTATTCTGCAAGGAAATACAAAGCTGTTTTCATGAACAAGCACAGTGTAGGGGAAATGTCAGCATTACCAATTTGAACATCAAATGACCACACACATTTTTAAAAGTAAAACAAACAAAAAAACACCTGAGCCCCCCAAAATGTACAATAGATGACAGTCAAAATTAACCACCTTAGTAAAACAACAAGAAAGATGACCCCCAGTCCTTCTATTCTCCCTACTCTACCAGGAGCCAGGGCCACACCATAGATGCCCCTTGGTGCCCCTGCCTGGTGATATGTACTACGGTACAGACCTCCATTGAAGAGAACAAGGGCTCATTAGTCTCTATACTAAAGTTTTACCACAAAAACTTATAGAGGCTAGACTGGAATCTGGAGATGTAAAAGTAACTGCCCACTGATCTACCAGGAAACAGGAAGGCAAGGGAGCCTAGTCACGGTTTTCTCAGGGAAAAGGAAGACAGGCACTCTGCAGAGAGACCCCAGGCCGGGCTAGCACACCTGCATGGGGATCATTACGTTTGATCCTTTCTCGGTGCTCTCGGAGACTCTGATAAGCCCCCAGAACTCAGGGGGTGGGCAAGGCTGGGCTCCTTCCCATTCCCTCTCTCGCACAACTGAAAACAAGGTTTTTTTCTCCCTGGCTCCCCAGAAAGGGACAGGACCTACAACCAGTGCTCATAAGTGAGACTCACTTGTGGGCCCCTCCCAGGTCTGTGTTCTGAAGATACCTTCCCTTCCTGCACTGACAATGCAGCCCTCAGGGGGTGAGGAGGCAGAGAGAACAAATGCCCCCCCTCCCCTCCCCCCAAGCAGGTCTCCTTAGCAGTAAGTACCCTGTACAGCCAGACCACAGGCTGGGGCTTGTGAAGTGATTTCACGGACAGCCCCTTGAATGAATTACAGAAGGCATGGGGACTTGACCAGGGATCAACGGCTGGATGGCAGTGAGCTGAAACACAACTCCCGGAGATAATTTTGGTAAGACGATTCTGCATGATTAAAGTGATATCAGAAGGGTTGACTGATTTCATCCGGTTTGTGGACTGTAAGTTACTGACCTCTTGTTCCCGCTGAAAAATAACAACTCTGCCTCCCTTGTCTCCTGTTGCAAGAAGATCTCCAGAGTAATTAAATTCAACAGTTGAGATAATGTCAGCTGTCAATAAAATACAGAGGCAGTTTACCAGATTACAATTGTGGGAGAAATCACAATGAGTATAAAAAAAATCAACAAAAAAGGTCAAAAGACAGATAAACATATATAAAACTTTCTCCCTGGATAAAGCCAAATTTTCCTAAGAAACTTTTAATTACCAACCAGCCACTACTCGGTTCTGGAACCAGAGCCAACAGCACATATGAAGTTAAGGTTTTGCCCAAGGGATAGAATACCTAGTCCCTGGTGCACCAGGATTTATCTAGACTGGGTTGTCTTATATAAGCATGTACGGTAGAAATTTAGAAAATTAATATTGAAAAGAAAAAAAACTGGTTCAAAGAGACTGTTGCCTAATATATAATGCCTGCCTAACACTAACTTTTAAAATATATCTGATTGTTACATAATATTAACAGAAACGTCGTAAATTTTATGCAGTAACTTTTGTTGGTTTCTGTACGAAATGACATTATGGACAGTACAGGTTCTATTCCCTTGTCTGGATGAAGTCATTACTACTGACAATGATGACCCATTACCTAGTGAGACTATGTTGGTCAAAACTGAGACTTCTGATACTATCAACACAAAGACCCTGGACATCAGCTCCCCAGGGGCAAAGCCAAGTTTTACCAAGAGAACAAGGCCAAGTGCTGGAAGAAACATCCCCAATAGACTCTGGAGGAAATTGCTTTCTCTGCAGTTCCTGCTTAAGTGCTGACTGAACCACGATCAAGGTGTGGGTATGGTCTCCCAAAGGGCCACAATAGCTGGTTCTATGACCACAATGAGATTCAACCATCTCAAATGCCTCAGAAAATCTCATCTCTCTGGCTGCTCTGAGAAAGGGCCATTTTACTTCAAACTGTTCCTGCTGCTGGCCACCACCACCAAGGGCATATCCACCAGTGCCAGTGACTGCTTGGGCTGCAGGACTACTGAAGTTGGAGTGCTTAAAGACATACTGCTGAATGGCTGTCATACATGACATCTGCATCAGAAACAGACCCCAATGTTGAAACCACTTGAAGACTGCCCCTCCAAAGTGGCCACAATTTAATACAATTCTTAAAGGTATGCACAAATATTTTCATCAAAGAATTATAACAGATGATGTCTTATTGCATTGGCACTGTTTACTGACTTATAAAAACATACTGAGTTCTATTGCCTGGGATTTCGTTTTTCTTTAAAAAAAATCTTCAGTTAGACTTGGGAAAAGGACTAGGCTTCTTGTTTGAAGTGTCAATTTTTAAACTAAATTATTCAAAATAACCTAATTTGCTTAAATGAAACTGAAATATTCTGTACTGGACTAAAGGGGACTAAATTATTCTGTACTGGACTAAAAGAGACTACATCTATGCCATTTATACCCAGGAGGTGTATCATATAATTAATGGTATTCTAGCCTTGTCAGTGATTTTCAAACTTAATAAAAACGGACTAAATCTTTTATTTTTTAAATTGATTTTGAGAAAGTCCTAACCAGTTTGGCTCAGTGGATAGAGCGTTGGCCTGTGGACTAAAGGGTCCCAGGTTCGATTCTGGTCAAAGGCATGTGTACCTTGGTTGCCGGCACATCCCCAGTAGGGTGGTGTGCAGAGGCATCTGATCAATGTTTTTCTCATCGATGTTTCTAACTCTCTATCCCTCTCCCTTCCTCTCTGTAAAAAAACTCAGTAAAATATATTTTTTAAAAATTTGATTTTGAGAGAGAAACAGCCATGTGAGAGTGATCTATCCATCAACTGGCTGCCTCCTGTACGCCCCCTACCAGAGATGAGCCCCAAACTAGGCATATGCCCTGACTCGGAATCGAACCAGCAACCTTTGGGTGCACAGGCCAATGCCCAACCAACTGAACCACATCGGCTAGTCCTGGACTGAATCTTTTAAAAGAAATCTCCCATTACTGTCAGTGGTGAGAAATCATTTTCATTAAGCTACATAAAAATGTATAAACCTAAAATTAGAAATACTGTAGTTTAGAAGAGCTCTAAAATAAAAATAAATATTCAAACTAAATACTAAGAAAAAAAAACCCCAATAAAATTTAAATTACCAACATTAATTTAACCTATGAATACTTTACAAGACCAGAGTGACACTAAGTACGACACTGACTGAGGGCACCAAGCGAGGCTGTTTGAAACTACTGTGTACTGCGCGATGACTCAATTCTGTTTTCTGTCTGAGCGGCCAGGAGCCCCAAGCACAGCACAGCTGGCACCCCTGACCATGATCTGTGTGGCAATGGACCTGTTCGCACGGCAAGAGCAAGGCTCCTTTCTGATGTGCAAGCAGCGAGGGATGCCGGGCCGATGCAGAGCTTACTAGTGTCTACATCACCCTCACACCATGGATAATGCTCAGCAGCCCCTGAGCATCCACCGCAGATTCTGAGTCAGTGTGGTGGGCCACGGGCAGCTGCTCATCTCCTTTCCCTCCCAACCTCAGCAAGGGGCAGAAGGAAACTGAAGAGACCTCGGCCACAAGGCAACTACAGGAACCAGGGCCTCAACAAGGTCTCAACTAGGAGATGGCTGCAAGTCTGTGCAGAACTGCTGGCCCCCAAGCTTTCCCCATTCTGACAGGTGGGAGCACACAGCTACTCCCATTCTGTGTCCCAAATGCTGGCTGCCAGGAATGAATCATTCCCACCATCCCCAGGGTTCCTTTCGGAAATGATAAAGTCCGGGAGAGAAGGCATCAAGGGTCAAACACACTAGGTCCTTAAAGAAATGACCCACCACAGGGCAGCCCTCAGCTGAAAAGCCCACCTGCACACACAAGTGTCCAAAGCGGCTCCACCTGAAACATGAACCCACAGCTCAGGACTGGCAGACATGTAAGAGGAAATCCATAACAAAGAAGGAATTTGGAGGAAAGAGCAACAGTGCATCAAAAAAATGTCATGCGATGCCATTTTTATTTGAAAGAGCAGCTGACCAACTATGGTGGTTCAGACTTTGGTATTTGGCAGCATTATTTTTGAAAATTTCTCACTTCATGGAAAACAATGAAGTGAGCCTCTCACTTCATGGAAAGCAGTTAACTGACAGTGTTTATTGCCAACTAAAGGCATGGTGCACGACATTTGTGCGAGGGAACGGGGGGGGGGGCGCGGGCTCCCTCAGCCCGGCCTGTGCCCTCTCGCAGTCTAGGACCCCTCAGGGGATCTCCGCCTTCCAGCTTAGGCCGGCTTCCCCCTCCCCGCCCCCTGCAGGTGGACATCTCCCGAGGGGTCCTTAGTGCTGCTGCTGTGCTTAGTGCTGCTGCTGCGCTACCCAGCCAGAAGCCAGGCTCCTGCTCCTTAGCACTGCCTCGGAGGTGGGAGAGGCTCCTGCCACCACCGCTGCACTCGCCAGAGGTCAGCCCACCTTCTGGCTGAGCAGCGCTCCCCATGGGAGCACACTGACCACCAGGGGGCAGCTCCTGCACTGAGCGTCTGACCCTGGTGGTCAGTGTGTGTCATAGTGACTGGTTGTTCTGCTGTTTGGTCAATTTGCATATTAGGGTTTTATTATATAGGATAAAATCCAAACTTTCAATAGAAAATTAGAATTTTAGAAAACTTATATCAATTACTATTAATTTGACAGCCTCCACTGTAAGATTTTTCTGATGAGGTCAGTGGTGATATTAACAAGTGTGATTTTCTTTGAGCTTGTATAATGAAATGTATCATTTATATAACCTGAACAATTCAATGCATAAATATTTCCCAATGACCCAGGTGTGATGTTAGCAAACCACATGCATGAGTAAGAGATTTATTCAAAGTACAAGACAGAACTATGGATTTCGATGTAATGGAATAAAAAGTTTCAGGTTTCAAAGCCTAACTAAACTTGAGGAAAGCATCCCCCCCCTTCAGTTTCATTGTACTATTAAAGAATAGCTGCAACTATATGAGAAGGCTATTCCGTCACTCCTTCCTTTTCTAACTACGTGTAAGCTGAGGCCAAATTTTCTTCATATCCTATATAATAAAAGCCTAATATGCTAAGTGTCCAGTTGTCCATTCAACCAATCAAAGCTTAATATGCTAATGATATGCTAAGGCCGCTCAACTGCTTGCTATGATGTGCACTGACCACCAGGGGACAGATACTCTGACCGGTAGGTGAGCCTGCTGCTGGGGTCCAGCCAATCGGGACTGAGCAAGATGGGCCAGACATGCCCTGGAGCCCTCCTGCAGTCCCTCCCTGGCTGGCCAACCTCCCGCGTCCCTCTCCGGCCCCGACCATGCACCAGTGGGGTCCCTAGTCTGCACCCTCTCGCAATCCAGGACTTCTCGGGGGATGTCAGAGAGTGGGTTTTGGCCCAATCCCACAGGCCAGACCTAGGGACCCCACTGGTGCACAAATTAGTGCACCGGGCTCAAGTATTTCAGTAAGACCACTGCAACAGGTTAATTGCAGAAGCAGATCTGAAAATCCAGCTATCTTCGACTAAGCCTTATACTTACAGTTTGCAAAAAGTATATACCATTCTCCTCACTGAATCTGTTTTTCATTTAAAATGTCATGTTAACATGTAATAGGTTATTTTAAAGTGAAATACTGAAAATATTTTAAATTGTTCTGTTTTAACTTTAAATATAACAAATCTCGATACATATAACTCACAAGCACGAAAGCTCTCGCGTCCTCCTGGAACCAAAGGCTCCAAGAACCACTGGTTTAGCACAGGGCTGGCCAACTCAAGGGCACAATCTGACCCCCGCTGCTTTGTTAATAATGGTACTGGCCCACCATGACACCCATTCCTAAGTGGGTTCTTCCCTGCTTTCCTGTTACAAAAGCAGAGTTGAGCTTAGTAGTTGCAACAGAAACAGTGTGGTCTGCAAAGTAGAAAATATCTACGAGATGCCTTTACAAACAAGCCGGCAGACCTCTGATTTAGAGCGGGCCCACATTTCCAGCCTTTATTATTGCAGTAAGTTTCTAATTGGTACTTCTGCCTCCATTCTTACCCCAGAACCTCCATTCTCCAAAGGCCAGAGTGATCTTCCTAAAAAACAGTCAGTGTCACTCCTCTGCTTACCGTTGCAATCACTTCAAAGCACAATTCTAAGTCCTCAGCATGGTATTCAAGGCTTTCATTCATCACCCTTTGGACCCTGCCAACCACACTGGTTTCCCAGAAAGCACCACACTCTCTCCAATCTCCCTCCATCTGAAACATTCTTCTCCTTCCTCCCTCTTCCTACACACAGCCTCACTTCTCCCCTTCACTACCCATACAAGTCTCTGTACTGGGCACGTCTATCATGTTTTCTCGAAATGCCCTGCTCTCAGAATGACGCAATGACCCATCTGCTTCAGTCTGCCTAAGCCAGGGGTCCTCAAACTACGGCCCACGGGCCACATACAAATACAAATATTGTATTTGTTCCCGTTTTGTTTTTTTACTTCAAAATAAGATATGTGCAGTCTGCACATAGGAATTTGTTCATAGTTTTTTTTTAAACTATAGTCCGGCCCTCCAACGGTCTGAGGGACAGTGAACTGGCCCCCTGTTTAAAAAGTTTGAGGACCCCTGGCCTAAGCAGAGGACTTTGTGAGGCAGGAACTGGGTTTCTCTATTCCAACACCCAGCACCAGCAGCCCTTCAGGACACTGTTCTGACCTTTTATTATTATTTTTTTTAATATATTTTATTGATTTTTTTTACAGAGAGGAAGGGAGAGAGATAGAGAGTTAGAAACATCGATGAGAGAGAAACATCGATCAGCTGCCTCCAGCACATCTCCTACTGGGGATGTGCCCGCAACCCAGGTACATGCCCCTGACCGGAATCGAACCCGGGACCTTTCACTCCGCAGGCCGACGCTCTATCCACTGAGCCAAACCGGTTTTGGCGTGCTCTGACCTTTTAAAATGAACTCAGCTGGAAACTAGCCCCCAATACCCTTCATTTTCTTAAGTTGGCTCCTTGGAGAAACAATGAGTAAGTTATTCTCCTATGCAAGACACCAGCTTTTAACAGTTATCAGGTACTGTGCTGCCTGTTTGCTAGAGATTCCCTGCATTACCTGGAATCTTCCCAACAATCCTGCAACAGTCACAAGGAACAGTACCCATTTCACAGACCTGATAAATGGCAGGCATACACCAAACCCAGAACTTCCCATGAAAACAATCTCAGCCACTTCATCTCCCAGTGCAGGGGAAAGTGGATAGTTGAAGGTTACAGTGGAACTTCTCAAAGCAGAGCTCAGACCAGAACAAAACTTTCAAGAACAAAGGCCTTATGAGCCACAAATCTAAACAAATTTACTACTCAAGTCCCCGGTCCAAGCAACCAGGGTACACATCTCCTTAAAGGACCCACCTGCTGTTAGCACTTGGCGACATTTCTTCCTCAAGGATGTTTGGGTACAACCAGTTTCTTTTCTTTTCTTTTTTTTTTTTTTAAATATATATATTTATTGATTTTAGAGAGGAAGGGAGAAAGAGATAGAAACGTCAATGATGAAAAAGAGAATCACTGGTTGGCTGCCTCCTGCACGCCCCCTACTGGGGATCCAGCCGGCAACCGGATCATGTGCCCTTTTGCAGGAATCAAACCTGGGACCCTTGGGTCCGCAGGCCCATGCTCTGTCCATTGAGCCAAACCAGCTAGGGCTACAACCAGCTTCTTAACCATCTTTATTCTAATTGCTTAACAATCACTAGTTGCTAACAATTACATTTTCCTTATTACCGACTTCTATTGTAATAAAACAATTCAAATGAAACTATCACAACTACGATGAAGAGTTATAAATGTGTTAACCCTGATAGATTACTAAGGCTGAAGCATATGTGGACTAAGATAGAAAGCCTGAATACACACAATAAAAAACAAATAAACCAACAACGTGGGTAATGACTACAAAGCTTTTTATCACCAAAAAAGATAACCCGAAATACCAAGCTTTGAGATGCGTTCAACATTTTACTTCAAACTGCAAAAATTTCCAATCAGTTTAATTCAAAGAACAAAATATTTCTGCCAAGGGTTTTTAAAAGACAGCATATTTTCAAACTATAACATCACAGTACTAGTAAAACACGCCATTCGTTAGATTTAAAGTTTATTCAGCTTGTCAACAATGACTTCTTTAAGGAAAAAACAAAACAGAAATTAATAGAGGCATTGAGCCCTTCCACCTCTCTACCTCTCCAGCGGTTCTCAACCTGTGGGTCGCGACCCCTTTGACGGTGGAACGACCCTTTCCCAGGGGTCGCCTAAGACCATCCTGCATATCAGATATTTACATTACGGCCCTAACCGGTTTGGCTCAGTGGATAGAGCGTCGGCCTGCGGACTCAAGGGTCCCAGGTTCGCTCCGGTCAAGGGCATGTACCTTGGTTGCGGGCACATCCCCAGTGGGGAGTGTGCAGGAGGCAGCTGATCAATGTTTCTCACTCATCGATGTTTCTAGCTCTCTATCCCTCTCCCTCCCTCTCTGTAAAAAAATCAATAAAATATATTAAGAAAGTAAAAAGATAAAATCAGATACTTACATTACGATTCATAACAGTAGCAATATTACAGTTATGAAGTAGCAACGAAAATAATTTTATGGTTGGGTCACAACATGAGGAATTGTATTTCAAGGGCCAGAAGGTTGAGAACCACTGCGTCTAAACAAACAGGGTTTGCTTCGCTCCTGATAGAAATTTCGAGGAAGTTAAACTGTCACCCACTTGGCTCACGCAAAATGAACAAAAGTAACGTAGCCTAAGTGAACAGAAGAGAAACAGAACCCAACTGCTGCGGTTATATAAAATCACCTAGTTTCCACCTCAAACTCTATGCCTCTATCTTTAGACTTCTCGGAGCAGGGCTTCGCTTAATAACCCGCACCAAAGGTCTCCGGACCAGGAAGGTCACCGGCGGGGCCAAGGAGGAGGAGAGGGGACCAGACACCGGCCAGAAGGCTGTCCGTTTCTTGGGGCAAAAGAGCGGTCTTTTGTGTCAAGGCAGAAAGTGACCGTGTGGCTCTGATGAAACTCCCGCGTCTCTGCCCAGCGGCTGGGTGGGCAGCCCGGAGCCTGGTGCGCTGGCTCCTTCGGGGCTACGGTGCCGAAAAGAGCCGCCGGGTCCGAGCAAGGGCTTGGCAACGCGTCCCTGGACAGGCAGGAACTGACCACCAGATCCCGACCCGTCTTTAAAGGTGGACACCGCGGCCAACGGCGGCCCAGACCCCCGGCGGAACAGGCGGCCCGGGTCGAGGGCTGCGGCCGCCGTCCCGACCGGCCCAGCGCGGCCCGCACCCACTGCAGAGGAGCAGTCGCCCCCGTTTGGTTTCCCGAGCCCCCCGTTTCTGCAAAGACTTCCAGGTCCGAGTTGCCGGCGGCAGCCCGTGCGGTGGGGAGAGCCCGGAACCCGCGCGGAAGACCGAGTTGCGAGCAGGCGCCGTGACCTTGGGCTCCCCGCACAGCTCGCGGGCCGGCTGCAGTCTGCGGACCGGACCTCGGCGCGCACGCTCCCGGCGGGGTCTCGACACCAGGTCCCGAGGGCTGGTGCGGGGAGGGGCGCGGGGGAGGGCGAGGCCTTACCTTCCGCCACGTCCTCGTCGATGGCCCCCTTGACCTGCGAGAAACACCACTGCAAGTCGTTGCCGCTCGCGGGGCAGCCGCCGCCTCCGGCTCCTGCGGACACACCGGGCACGTCAGGCCGCGCGGCCCCGCCCGCGCCCCCCGCCACGCCACACGCCCCGCGACCCCGCCCGCGCGGGCCCTCACCTGCCATGGCCGTCCGGCCGGCGGGCGCGCGCGGGCGGGCGAGCGCCGAGGCGGCGGCGGACGAAGGAGGCGGCCGCCACGCAGCTGCCGCCCCAGCACCTCAGCCGGGCCGCCACCGCCGCCGCCGCCGCCGCCGCCGGGGAGGGATTTTTTTCCCCCCTTTTCAAAATGGCGCCCAATGTCCGTCGCCCAGGTCAATGACGTCATCCCCCTCCGCCTCCTCCGCGGGCGGGGGCGGGGCCGCCGGGAGCTCCCCCGCGCCGGGCGGGGCGGGGCTTGAGGCCGCGGGGGCTGTCGGGGGTTGCAGGGCCGCGCCGACTGCGCCTGCGCGAGCTTCCTCGTGCTGCGCCCAGGGTTCGGAAGGGGGCGCTACAGGGCGGCCATGGAAGCCACGGCCAATGGGCTGTGAGCTCAGGCCCCGGCGGTTCCTTGAAGACCAGGCGCCCGGCACTCGCCCGTCGCACGCCTTCCCGGGGTTACGACACCCCTCTAGGAGGCCCCGCCCCTCCCAGCGTCTCCGCCAATGGGAGCGCGCTCCGAGGGAGTGGGCGGAGCCCGGGGTCCGGGCCGCACCTGGAGCGCGCCGCTCGTGAGTCTGTCCTCCCGGCCTCCCTGCCCACCCCCGTGCGGGGCCGCGTCGCTTTTCGACACAGCGCGAGCCCGGGAAGTCTGTCCGTCCTTGGTGGCAACCTGGAGAGACTAGGTGAGCTCACCCCGGAGGGACGGCAGGTGGGAAAGGGGACCGAGAACAGAACCCGAAGGAGAGGGGCGTGGCGAGGGTGAGGTGGACCCCGGAGTCCCGGCCGGTGCGGAGGGAGGATGTGGTTGGCCGTCGAGGCTGCGGGATGCGCGCCGGCAGGGACCGCTGGTGGTAGCAGGTGGGACGGCGGTTCCGACCTGGACCGGAGCAGCCTGCAGTGGACGCTGCGGACCTGTTTCCAGCGCGTTTAAGAGAAAGCGAGGAGCATTGCAGGCAGTGAGTTGCCACTTGGCTGTGATGCGAGCAGAGGAAGGGGCGGCATCTGCTTTTCTCACCTGGAGGTTTAGCCGGTCCCCCCCCCAGCAGTTGAAAAGAGTGGGTTACGCATCAGACTCTCTCGTATGCAAACGCTTTAGTGTGTGTTCAAGATGCCTTTTGACGTGATGGCAAGATAATTAACTTTTAGCTTAGACTGTAGTCTTTCCTTAATTAGCTACTATTAAATTAAAATAAAAAAACAAGAAAAGTAACATCTTTGAACATAGAGAGCTGCCTTCCTTTATACCTTAAAAATTTGAAAGAAATCACAGTTCTTCCTTGCATATCTTTAAAAAATTATTTGATTTACTTAGATTTCACTGACTAAACACCACTTAAAATGCCAAGTGTGGGTTGTTTTCAAGTTTATTTTAGTAGCTAGCTCAGAGTTGTCATAGGTGTACCCTACCTATAGATGTAGAGAGATGTATATAGCTAATTATATATCATATAGAGTAATTTTAATACCTGAAAAATTCTCTGGTGGCTCAGTGGTTGAGTGTCGACCCATGAACCAGGAGGTCACGGTTCGATTCCTGATCAAGGGCACAGGCCCCGGTTACGGGCTCGATCCCCAATGGGGGTGGTGCAGGAGGCAGCCGATCGATGACTCTCATCAATGATGTTTCTATCGCTGCCTCTCCCTTTCTCTCTGAAATCAATAAAAATACATTAAAAAAAGAACTTTTCTGTGCTCCATCAATTCATCTCTCCTACCCCACCCCCTGGCCACCAAGGATCTTTTTACTGTCGTTTCCAGCATGTTGTAGAGTGGCTTCTTTCACTTAGTAATATGCATTTAAGGTTTCTCCATCACTTTTTATGGCTTGATAAGAAAGTTCTTGCCCCGCCGGTGTCTCTCAGTGGTTGAGCATCACCCCATGAACCAGGAGGTCACAGTTCGATTCCCTGTCAGGACACATGCCCGGGTTGGGGGCTCTATCCCCAGTGTGGGGCGTGCAGGAGGCAGCTGATTGATGATTCTCCCTCATCACTGTTGTTTCCGTTTCTCCCTCTCCCTTCCTCTCTAAAATCAATAAAATATATATTAACACACACAACAAAGGATGATATTACATGATGTGGTCCGAGGGACTTTGACTATAATTAGGGTTACAGACTTTTACAGAGGGAGATTATCCGGGATTATGTGTACGTGCCAGTCTAATTACACGAGCACTTGAAAAGCAGCATTTTCTCCAGCTGTACAGAGAGATGCAGCGTGGGTGAGGGGCGTGACCTGCTGTGGGTGGAGGGGCGCAGGGAAAGCATGAGAAGGGACGTGGACAGCCTCTAGGAGCAAAGCCCAGCCTTGGCTGAGAGCCGGCCAGAAATGGGACCCTAGTCCTATAGCGACCCACCGGAACGGAATTCAGCTGAGAGCTTGGATGTAGGCTTGTTCTCAGAGCCTCCAGAAAGCTGTGCAGCCCTGCTGACAGGTACCATGATTTCAGCCTAGGCCGATCGCCAGGTGCGCCATCCTGAGCCCATCCCAACCTCCAGAACTGTGAGAGTAGATGGGCCTTGTCTGAAGCCGTTATGTTGTGGCAATTCTTAGGGCAGCAGAAGAAAACAAATACAGTGTGTGTGTGTGCAATAAACGGACTTGTATCCACTCATCCGTCTTGCTGTGTTTGCTGTGTGCATCTAGGCCAGCCGTGGGCAAACTACGGCCCGTGGGCCGGATCCGGCCCGTTTGAAATGAATAAAACTATTGAAAAAAAAGACCGTACCCTTTTATGTAATGATGTTTACTTTGAATTTATATTAGTTCACACAAACACTCCATCCATGCTTTTGTTCCGGCCCTCTGGTCCAGTTTAAGAACCCATTGTGGCCCTCGAGTCAAAAAGTTTGCCCACCCCTGGTCTAGGCACTTAGTTCACTGTTGGCGCGCTGGCTGTGTGTGAGCAGCTGAGGACACACCGTGCCTGTGTCCCGCAGAAGGGCACCTCGCGGGGGCTGGCAGGTCCAAGCGTGCAGAGCCGGCCTCTACTCTCAGCGGCACCACGAATGCTCTCGGAGAGTCCGGAGCCGCCCTGAGCACTTCACATGCGTATCATCTAATGCTCACAAGACCTACCATCTGCTCATTTTCGGATGAGGAAACAGGCTTAGAGAGCACCAGTACTTTTCCCCAGGCTTCACCGTCACTCAGAATCGAAGCTCAGGACCTGGCCGGCTTTGCTCAGTGGTTAGATCATTGGCTCTCGGACTGAATGGTCTCGGGTTCGATTCCAGGCCACGTACCTCAGTTGCAGGCTCAATTCCTGGCCCCAGGCAGGGTGTTTGCTGGAAGCAACCAATTGATGTGTCTCACTCCCATCGATGTTTCTCTGTCTCTCCCCTTCCATTCAAAAAAGTAAAATAAAAATAAAAATTGAAGCTCGGGTGTAACCTCAAAGCTGTGGCCCAAAACAAGGGGAGGTGACACGCCAAGCCCCCCTTCATGGCGTGCGTAAGCCACGGGGAGGACCCCAGCACTTGCTCTGCCCAAACTATAACCGCCTTGCCAGCAATACACCCCTGTGCCGTGGCCCATGAACTGAACCAGCTGCACCCCTCCCAAGATCATCTTCATAGGGGTGATGGGAGAATGGCTGGGGGGAGCATCAAGCCGCTGTGGCTGCTGCAGTTGATGCCGTGACTCAGAGTGAGCCCCGAGCCATGCTGGAGAAGTCTCTCCTGGAGAAGCGGGCGCTTAGAGTTCGGTATATCAACCCCGCACCCAGCGCCGTGGAGAGTGTCAGAGGCTCAATAAACATGGACTTTTTGTGGGGCTGAGAGGAGGAAGCAGGTTGTCCGACACTGAGTGGGACAAGGGGAGGGGCTCTCGGTGGGCTGACTGGGCTCCTGGGCCGGCCTGATTGCCCAGCTTGGTTAGTCGGTGTGTAAACCACAGGGCGTGGCAGTGTCCCTCTGGGAATGTGGGCATCATAGGGCTTTCGAGATTCTCACAGATTGCATTGTCATTTGTATTTTCATCACATAACTTTGAGCACATTCAATAGTACAGCTTCCTTTATGGAGAGACTACTTTGCAATATTAAAGCCTCCTCATGCACTAAGGGGGCCACACCGCACTTACCCGTGTCCCCAGATTTCTGGGTCCAGGACGTAGCCCCCATCTGCTCTTCTAGGTGCTGTTTCCAGTGCCTTTCACTAGGGCCTTGTGGCAATTTCTTCCCTGCCTTCTCCTTCAGGACCCTCCTCTCTCCCTCCTGTATCCACTCTCCCACTAGGAGCTTGTGTGTCCTGAGCCTTTCATTCCAGTGCTGGGCTCAGCTCAGTGCAGGCTGCTGGGTGTGGAGGGGCAGGAGGAGCCTGTGTGATGAGCTGTGAGCCCTTGGCCCAGAGGGCCAGACCTGCAGGAACTCCCCCTCTCCCGCCTCAGGCTTCCCCCCTCCTCAGGCTCCCCCCCCCCCGCCCCCACCCGCCTGCCTTCCTGTACAGAAGTCCTGGGGCTTCTCTGCCCTCTGATGTTTGCAGCGACAGAGCGAGCGAGGTTGTGGGCCTGCAGACAGCCAGGCCCGGGCTCTGAGTCATGCGCAGCTGGGGACTGGAGGAAATGAGGAAATGTGCTCGTACCTCTGGGAAAATCTTTTCTCTCTAAATTCAGCAGCATCCATCCGCACCTGTGCATTTCTCTGTATTTTGGAACACTGTCAGTGATGTGATGTTTCCTATTTTTAAATCAGATTCTTAAAAGTGAGAAAAACACTTGCTCATTCTAAGTGTTTTTTTTTTTTTTTTTTTTTTTTTTTTAAGAAATAATTCATGGACGGAGATAACTTCATTTCAAGAATAAAAATACCAGCTTCACAATACTCACTGTTATGCCCAGAATTCAAGATCCCCAAGAAACCATGCCAGGGAGTCAGTCCGATGCAAAAGCAGGAGGTCCTTTATTGAGTTAGCTAACCCGACCCGGACCTCCAGTCGACGCAGCGACCGGAAACCGAGTGCGACCCATGTGAAAATCCGGGCTTTCATAGTGAGGGGAGGGGAGCTGGCTGTGACCCTGCCGATTGGCCAGGCGCAAGTCTGAGCAAATGGCCTCTGCCCCATCATTCCCCCCTTGTCTTGGAACTTCCGGCTCAATCATGAGACGGACTGCACTTTTATTTCACCGTCGCTAGGGGCCCGTAGTGAGCACACAGAACTATCAACTGAGCTATTTTATACACTTAACAAATGGTCCGGTGGAAGGGAAAGAAACCATTTTAGCTTTAACAACTTCTATTGAAATAGGATTTTTCTTCTTAAAATTCCTCCATGGCTATTAAAAAGCCAAATAAAGATTATACTGTCCTGATGTTTGCATAAACACAACAAGAATGGTAACTGACTACCTTTGCTGGAATTTCATGGTTGAACCTTAATGTGCCCCGTAGGGCCAGGAAGCCAAGCCATCCAGCTGCCATCAGGCCTGCCTGCAGTATCTGCTGAGTTAGGTGAATCCCTCACCTGTAGCAACTCCACCTGAGCCCATGCTCCAGGCTTTAAGGCCCATCTCAGTAGCCCTCCTACTCGTTGCGGCCCAGAGTGTGTGGGGGTTCTGCAGGGATGCAGAGGCATCTTTACTGCTCCCCTTCTACTCTTACCAACCGCCAGTGATGGTAGGGCATGGGCCTGACGCTCCAGCGCCAGCCGTCTTCAGGGCTCCCAGGCAGGATACCAGGCTT